TTCTTGTGTTTAGGATGCCACACTATTAAGAGGGATATGATATACATATAATTGGAGTAAACAATAGTACTCAAACCATATTTTTCTTCCAAGTGTTTGTTTAGTTATGGTCAAAGTGAAGCATGTAGGCCTACGTTGTTAATTTTGGTAATTAATATTAAGCACTAATTGTGGACTAACTATTTTATTTGAGTGAGATAATTTAAGAGAGGGCCACATGATGTGTATACCAAGAATGATTACCGGCTACCGCAGATTAAAATTGATAGTGCAAAGCAATGAGAGGAAGGTGATAAATATGGTTATGTTTTTAACGATCGAAGCGTTGGGTGATCAATTTGCTAGGTTTTCTTTATAGCTTTACCGTACTATTTAGAGGGGGTGGTAATCTTGACAAAGAGGTGATCTAAATAACACATTAGTGCATGCATGAGGGTTTCTTGTATCTTTGGCTTTGATCTTTATTTCTAGAGCTAGCCGGTCGGACTGAGCCTATCCAGTACCGTTTTGGTGTTGCAACGATAGCATCGGGCAAATTGTCTTGGTACAGAGCATTCGTCGTGCACGACGAACAATGCCGGTCAGACCAAGCCTGGGAGGCTAGGAGCTGGTCGGATCGGGCCCATTAGTTGGTCAGACCTGTGAAAGTCCCAAATTGCTTGGTAGCACGGAGGCCACGGTTGGTCGGACCAGCCCTTCGCCAGCGGTCTAATGGCCATTGCATTTATTGCACCCCCAACATATAGATTTTGAACTAGTTTCAGGGCGGCTAGCCGTTTAGATTGGGCCCCTCAATGGTGGTCGGACCAATAGAGCACAGAGTTGGGGGATTTTGACCCCCAAAGACTAGTTTTGGTGGGTTGGGCTATAAATACCCCCCCCCCAACCAGCAGGAGGGGAACTTCCTAGGCACTTCATTCAATTCACTAGAGCCCTTGCAACACTCTGACACCAGTTAAGCACATTTCTCTCGATTTGTAGGTGTTTCAAGAGTTGATTAAGACAATACAAGTGCATTGCATCTTTGCTAGATCTTTTATGCAGTTGCTCATCTCTGAGCTTTGGTTGCGACTTTTTACTCTTGGAGGTTACCACCTCCTAGACGGCTTGGAGGAATTGTGGCCCGGTGATCCCTCCGGTGAAGCTTGTGGAGGTGACCTGGTGTTGTTTGTGCATGGTTTGGACCTACGAAGTGGAGGAAGAATTACCGGCTCCCGCCTTGCCCATCCATTTACGAAGGGGTTCGAAGGCTTCGTGGTGTGAGCGATGAGGTTGGGCTCACCTCAAAGGTGACATAGGAAGCTAGCAAGCTTCCGAACATCAGGTGAAAAATTCGGTTGTCTCTTCTCCACGATTCACATTTCTAGAGATAATTTTAGCCCAAATCGTCCTAGGCTTGCAAAACATAATTTAGTTAGTTAGCGTGTGATCCCTAAAACAAGCCTAGTGTCATGCCTTGATTTTCTTGCAGGGATTTAAAAATCATTAAGTAATTTATTTATATAATTTATTTTAAAATGTGAATCAATTTACAAGTGCGTCTTGCTACCTCTATGGACTTAGTCCACTGTAGGTCACCCTCCCTTTGAGCCGCCACGCGGGGCCTGCTCGTCAGCTCCGACGCCCCATGCCGATACATTAAATCCACTTTCCTAGTTAAAAAATAAATCTTTCTCCATGAGGCCGTAATCCCCCGTCTCCCGGAGTCCTGCTATATACTTTCTTTGTCCTAAAATAAGTTCAATTTTAGCCAACTCACACGTACCAATATAAAACCAAAAGACTATAATATCCCCGCTTTATCAAATTCCAATGTATTTATTCCCTACTTTCACAGGCAATGATGATTAAAAGTAAACTTAAATTGAGATAAATGGGAGAGGGTAAAAATGATCTTATTGTAGAACGGATGGAGTAACTACTTTCTTTTGCACGAGAAGTCAGTCAAAAAAATGGCAGTCTTGGCAGTTCCATATGTACACCACAGTTTGGTTGGAAGATATCTCCTTACTCAGCTCATCTTATATTTTTTCCGATTTTGCTAAACATATTGCGACACATTTTTCCAATAATATTAGTTGAATTCTGGACGGTTCAATACACTTTGGGATTTGTGCATTTTTATGGGCCGGAGCAAATGGTATGCTGCACGTGCGAGATAAGGGAAGGTCTAGACCTGCATTACTCCCTCCATCCACAAAAGTTACACCTATTACTTTTATCACCAAAACCAATGAGAAATTAAATCATCTTGGATGTTACAAAATCAAGTAGTGAATGTAAGCATACAACCAATGAGTATTTAGATGACTCCTTGGGTTCTAATCAAACATTTAATTTATCTATTTATTTAACTCTTGAATACATAAAGACTACAAATAGAACAACTTATTTAGAAAAACTCAAATGTGAAATATGTCTAACTTTTGTGGATGGAGGGAGTATTAGATTAGCGATAGTAATAAATACTTTGGAGATAGCCTGCATGGGCGTAGTTGCCTAACAATCTTTTATCAGGGTTCTCTATGATGCTTAGTTTTCTGGATTTGCTAGAAAACTTATGCAAGTTTTTTACCCCTAAAACTTTTAGATTTGTGACCATTAGATCGCCTTGAGATTTATGTATGAAGGAAAAAAATGTTAGAAACAAAATTTCACACATGTCATGCGTAAGAACCTAGTGCTAACTAACCAAACCATAGTTGAATAAGTTGTATAGTAGTTACATACAGTTACAATGTAATTACACTTTAAATATACTATAGTTACATATGAAAATTTTTGATTCAAAAAACTTGCGGCGGTTTTTTAATAATCCCTAGATTTTTAAATTTAAATGATTTTTCATGGATTTTACAACGAATACCTACAAGAATACTCATGAAAATTACATTGTAACTAGTGAACTTTACATTGTTCCATCTTCGTTTCATGAACAAGTGATTGATCGTATTTTTATTGCTTAGGTTGTCTTCTTATGCACAAGCGATACTTATACTTCTCGTTTTTGACGTGCATACTCCCTAAACCGCCAAATGATACCTTTTTTTTGCAAAAAAATTCTATGATAAGTCGTTTTATATGATAAGTCGTTTTGACTTTTTTCTAGTTTAAATTTGAGCAAGTTGATAGGAAAATATAGCAATATTTTCAACATAAAACAAAACATATTATGAGAATATATTAAATGTTACTTTTAATAAAACTAATTTGGTGTTATTAATGTTACTAAGTTTTTCTATAAACCTGATTAAACTTAAATAAATTTAACTATTAAAAAGTCAAAATGACTTATAATATGAAAAAGAGAGAGCGCTTAATTAATCATGCTCTAATAAAAAACGACATCTTCTCCCGAATACTTGTGTAGTAATACTCGAGTGGTCCAATGATTAAGGCCCAACAAAGATCTGCGGATGCATTGGTGCACGGATGGCGTGCCATGTAGGAGCGAAAAACCAACTGAAATCATAATTTTCTTACATCTGTTTAGTTACGGAAGATATCTCTTCATCAAGAAATCAAGATTAGTTCTAAAAAGAAAAAAAAATCAAGATCACCTTTATATACTTTCCTCCGGAGATGTTCTCCGTCTTCTTCATGCTCCTGCCGCCGTGAGCACCCCTGCCTCTCGTCTCGCGGCCGCTGATTGCTTGCCGGTGTACGGGATCGTCGAAGGAGCTTAACGGCGAGACGATGAAGCCGCCGTCGCCACCACCGCAGCAGACGGCGGCGACCACGGCACGAGGTTTTTTTAATAATCCCTAGATTTTTAAATTTAAATGATTTTCACGGATTTTACAACGAATACCTACAAGAATACTCATGAAAATTACATTGTAACTAGTGAACTTTACATTGTTCCATCTTCGTTTCATGAACAGGTGATAGATCGTATTTTTGTTGCTTAGGTTGTCTTCTTATGCACAAGCGATACTTATACCTCTCGTTTTTCATGCACACGCTCCCTAAACCGACAAATGATATTTTTTTTGCAAAAAAGTTCTATACGAAAGTTGATTTTAAAAATTATATTGATCTATTTTTCAATTTAGTTTTAGCTAATATTCTGTCTGTTTCATATGATGAGTTGTTTTGACTTTTTTATAGTTTAAATTTAACCAAGTTTATAGGAAAATATAGCAATATTTTCGACATAAAACAAAACATATTATGAGAATATATTAAATGCTAGTTTTAATACAACTAATTTGGTGTTATTAATGTTACTAAATTTTTCTATAAACCTGATTAAACTTAAATAAATTTAACTATAAAAAAGTCAAAATGACTTATAATATGAAACAGAGAGAGCGCTTAATTAATCATGCGCTAATAAGAAAATGACCTCTTCTCCCGAATACTTGTGCGGCAATTAGGCCTACTAGTAATACTCGAGTGGTCTAATGATTAAGGCCCAACAAAGATCTGCGGATGCATTGGTGCACAGATGGCGTGCCATGTAGGAGCGAAAAACCAACTGAAATCATAATTTTCTTATATCTATTTAGTTACGGAAGATATCTCTTCATCAAGAAATCAAGATCAGTTCTAAAAAGAAAAAAAATCAAGATCACCTTTTATATATTTTCCTCCGGAGACGTTCTCTGTCTTCTTCCTGCTCCTGCCGCCGTGAGCACCCCTGCCTCTCGTCTCGCGGCCGCTGATTGCTTGCCGGTGTACGGGATCGTCAAAGGAGCTTAACGGCGAGACGATGAAGCCGCCGTCGCCATCACCGCAGTAGACGGCGGCGACCACGGCGCGAGTTTTTTTTTAATAATCCCTAGATTTTTAAATTTAAATGATTTTTTTCCCTAGACTTTGAGAGGTGTCAATAATCTTTATAGATCGCAAGATATACAGAGCTGACATGAATCTATACTCAAGAACTGATTGCCCATAGCCCCATACTATTGCGTAGATGAAACCCTTCAAAATTTACATTGCCTAGGTGATGCATATTCTGAATTTTGTGTGGCAGCACAATTTAATTCAAGCAATGGAATCAGAAGAATAAAATGGCATAATTGCTCATGTAATCCCTTTTCTATGTAGAAAGTTCTCCACAATATGAGTGTACAAACCACATTCCTGAATTCTAAAACAGTGCATATCAACATATTTACTGATCCAAAATTACTCTTCAAGTATTAAACCAGAAAGAGTAATACAGATTCATTACTTTACTGAAAGTATATAGGTCCATAAGATAAACCACACGCTGGAGCAATAGTATGAAGGTTAATCAGGAAAACATAATCAGCCATTAGCCTCATTGCCTCTAACATCGTCAAGGGGAACAAAACCACAACTGCAATAAGAAATGTTAAATCACATCAAATTACTCAGGTGAGCAATACCATGCCAAACATTTTGATAAGAACATGCTAAATCTAAAGTATGTAAGAGTAAATCAGGTGAGCAATACATGGCGCACATAACATTAGTCTGGGCACAAGATGACTAAATCTGGATCAGCAGTTTCAACAAACAATATGGTGCTCTTTAGTCTTTACAGCTGAATATGTATTGACATGTATGCAATGATGTTTATGGCTCATGATCTGAAGATCCAAGTTATTTTTTAAAAATTCCATTAGTCCATGGCCCAAAAGCTGACTGTGCTCTTGGAAAATAATAAATAGAGATATTCTAAACCATAGGATTGACAGTATATGAGATACCTAAAGGTTTAATTTAAATTATTTATGTTCATTCTGGATCATATGAAAAGGTCAAAATGGCTTAAGTGAATTTTTATTCTTCAAATATATGAAAAGGTATATATAAGCATAATTATTGTGCACTGAAAAATCTTAAAATTTGACAACAGACACACACTGTAGGGGAAAAAAGAGAAATTGGTTTAAACTTCTCTATAGGGGAAGGGGCCCAGAGGATGGCTGGCTTAATGCTATGAATTGGGTTATTTGTGGTAAATGCCAGTACAAGTGCAAGCTACCTTTCATGAGATATAATCAACTGTTTAGCTTTTGCATGGTTCGTCACCCAACTTGCTTTTGTGTTTCTCATAACCCCTAGGAAGGATGTTGGGATAATGTGAAAAGAAATAAATCCACATTGTAAAAACCAGTAAAGCCAATCATAGCGTCTTCAGTGTCTCTGAAAATATCAACAAAAGCATTAAAGCATGCAGATCCCCAGCTGACAGGTTAAAACATAGTCACCATGCAAACCAGGACAGGTTTATATGGACCATTCGCAAGAAAGTCAGAGGAGCATATATATATAGACAAGGTAGAGTAAACCTTAATGAGTGAAGATATATAGCCTAGCCATGTGACGATCCCTTTTTTCTTCAAAACCTCAGACTCTAAAAGTCCTACAGTATTAGTCAATCAATTTACCATACAATAATAAGGTACAAGAAGAAATTCTTGAGAATTTAAACTAACAGAGTCTGAAGTGAAACAATACAAATAATATATGTGCTTGCTGCAATCCTTCCGAATTTAATAAAGGAATCGAACTACCAGAATCTGAAGTCAAACTATAAAAATAGTATATGTGCTTGTTGCAAATGTTCTTAATCGTGCTTATATATAGTACTGTACAATGTGGATCTAGATGGAACAGTCGACGTGGTTGAAGAAGACCTCAGGCGGCGCATCGGTGGGTGGAAACCAGAAGGTAGCTGTCGGCGAGGAAGCAGGTGGAGAGGTCGTCGAGGGGCGCGACGATGGCTTCGATGGGGTGCGGCGCAGGATTGGGAATTTGGGAGACGAGCAAGCTAGTCATCGGCTGCGGCGACGCAGAACGCGGCGGGTGCGAGGTCCGCTCACCGGTTGATGGCGATGCTGGTGTCATGCCCCGCCGCGTGAGCTACCCGACATGCTGCTTTGTTCTCTCCCGGTCGGGCCACCCCGGCGTGCACGGTGGAGAACCCCGCGCCGCCGAGCGAGTCGTGCAGTACCATCCGTGGCGGCCGCGGGGAAGGGTTCCCCTCTGGCTCCCATGTAGCCGGGGATTGAGGCGGCGATGGGGAGGCGCCGCGGCACAGCAGCGGCTGGGGGCGGGGGTGCCGGGGATGGGCGCGCGCGATGGGGAGGCGATGAGGTGCCCCTGAGGGGGCGCCGGGGATTGGCGCGGATATGAGGAGGCGGTGAGGTGGGGAGAAGGGGTTGGAGTGGAGGGCATGGGGGAGGAAGAGCTATGTGGCGGCGGCAGGACGAAGACGGCCGGAGGAGGGAATGCCTGGGTTGTGGGAAAGGGAGGGGATCTGCTACTGCTAGGGAGGTGGAGGTGGAGCGACGACGAGGGATCGACGGAGGATGGGCACTTGGGATCGGGGCGGCGTCGGGGAACGGAGGTCGTGGCACTTGGCGGAGAGGCAGCGAGCGGGGAGGCGCAGTGGCGCTGTGGAGAGCGATGGGCGGCGATGGCGTTGTGTGGATGGGAGCGGGGACGGGATCCGAGTGAGAAGGAGAAGGAAGGATCGCGCCGTGGCAGGATCGTGAAAGGAATCTCGTCCGTAGGATCTAGCAGATCTAAAGGTTAGGAATAAAAGTTGCAGGAATCACCACCACCATTACGACCTTGTATAGGAGTAGAGTATCTAGGGTGAGTTTGAGAAGATTGGGAAGATATGCAAAACGAGGTGAGTCATTAGCACATAATTAATTGAGTATTAATTATTTTAAATTTTAAAAATAGATTAATATGATTTTTTAAATCAATTTTCCTATAGAATTTTTTTTTTAAAAAAAACGCACCGTTTAATAGCTTGGGAAGCGTGCACGTGGAAAACTAAACAAACTCTCTCTCTTTCTCCACCCAACGAACGCAGCCTTAGTTACGGAAGATATCTCTTCATCAAGAAATCAAGATTAGTTTTAAAACATGTCAAAAAAAGATTAGTTTTAAAAAAATAAATCAAGACCTTTTATCTATTTTTCTCCGGAGATGTTCTCCGTCTTCTTCCCGCTCCTGCCGCCGTGAGCCCCCCTGCCTCTTGTCTCGCGGCCGCTGATTGCTTGCCGGTGTACGGGATCGTCGAAGGAGCTTAACGGCGAGATGACGAAGCCGCCGTCGCCACCACCGCAGCAGACGGCGGCGACCACGGCGCGGGGGTTCGAGGTTACCTGCGTGAAGGATCTCCTCCCGCTCCTGCAGGGCGTCCCCGTCACGTATCGCTTCGAGAAGCACAACGTGAGTCGCCCATCTCCACGGCTCACTGACGGATGGGGCCCGCCCCCTCCCCTCCCCAGCCAGCGCACGCGCTCCCCTCCCCTCGCCCCCGCCCGGCCGCCGCCGGGTTTCTTCCTCGCTGGTTTTTTTTTTTTTGTGTTTCTCTCTGTTTTTTTTTTCCTCTCTCGCTCGGTGAAATAACCCCAACTCCCCGCGCGCGCGCGCAGGCGAAGCTCGAGGGGACGGTCGCCGCCGGCGGCTACGCCTGCGCTTGCCCCGCCTACGCGGGCTGCGACTACCGCGGCAAGGTGAGATCCCGGTTTTTTCGCCTCCCCTCCCGGTTTTTTTGCGCGGAGAGAGAGGGGGTGAGGATTTTTTTTTTTTTGGTTCCTCACCATCTTCTTCCTCTTCTCCGGCGGCGTGGGGGGCGGCTGCGGCGCAGGTGCTGTCGGCGCTGCAGTTCGAGAAGCACGCGGGGGTGACGTCGAAGAACCAGAACGGCCACATCTTCCTCCGCAACGGCCGCTCGCTCTACGAGCTCTTCCACAAGCTCAGGGAGGTGCCCGCCGAGAAATTCCCCGAGGCATTCCGGATGGCCGCGGGGGTGCCCATGACGGTGCTCGCCGCCGCGGCCGCCGCCGCCGCTGAGGAGGCGCCGCGGGAGCGGGGGCTTGGGCCGGGGCCTGTGGCGGCGGAGCAGCCCCCGGCCTCGGCGACGCCCCGACCGCGCCCGACCATGGAGATGCTGACCGAGGAGGAGAAGGCCGGTTTGTCTCTCCTTGGCTTGAGGTGAGTGACCTCCGCTGCTTGACTTTCGTCGGGAAATCGCTGCGCAGTAGTACTGTAGTGGTGTGATTTCACGGCAGAGGTGTATTTGGCCTTCCCATGGGGATGAATTCTATAGTGACTGGGGGAATTGTAGGGTATTTTGTCAAAGCTGGAAACAATGACGTGTTAGATTAGTAAAATTAGTAGGTAGTTGCAGGATTATGTCGGGCTTAATTCGATTTTTTGAGCAGGGCAAGTGGCTCAAGGACCGAAATAAATTCCATGGACGGCATTGAAGGGCTTGCTACAGAAGCGATTGGGAATGCACCAAGCAGTGACCATGCGATGCTTGATGCAGAAGAGATGGGGAATGCAGCTGCTCAGCGACCTAGGAATAGTGGTCTTTCCACAACCACAACTGTTAAAGTGCCGGTGACAGCACGCAATAACCATGCAATGCCTGATGCAAATGAGGTGAGGAATGCTGATGGTGGTCGGTCAGCAACCCTTGCTGTTAAACTGGAGGTTACATCTGGCAGTGACCATGCAATGTCTGATGCGAAAGAGTTGAAGAATGCAGATTATGAGCAACCTAGGGATAGTGTGCTGGCAACAACCTCTGCTGTTAAAGTGCGAATTGGAGCAGCCAATGACCATGCAATGCCTGATGCGGAACAGACAAGGAATCCAGTTCTTGAGCAACCTTGGGATAGTAGCATGTTAATAACCGCTCCTGTTAAGGTGCGGGTGACAGAAACCAAGTATCGGCCAGAGAGTATACTGAAAGATGTAAGGGGATTGCTGTCCACTGGTCTTCTTGAAGGCTTCAGGGTAACCTACAAGAAGAATGAGGTCCGTGTGGTTCCTTCGCTGTTGAATCTGACTTGAAGTCTGCTTTTGATTTATACCTGAAGAAAAATATGTTTCTTTTGGTTATCCTTAGGTGGAGAGGATTGGAAGAATAAATGGACAAGGATATTCTTGTGGCTGCTCAGAATGTGGATATAGAAATGTCAGCTTTCTGTTGTCTCTATTAGCGAAATTTTTTATGTCTGTTCCCATATATTATCTGAAAATTTGACCTGACATTAATCATGTTTGACAAATTGCAGATAATGAATGCATGTGAGTTTGAACAGCATTCCGGTGAGTCGTCTAACAATCAAAACAATCACATATTCTTGGACAGCGGGATTTCTTTATATATGGTGATACAAGGACTGAAATACACTAAACTTGATATGCTTGGGGATGTGATTGGAAAAGTGATCAGTCTCCCTCCAAATATGATTCAATACGAAAAGTGGAAAGGTATTTAATTGAGTACCTAGCATTTACAGCTTTCTAGCTTTTGTATACTTCAAGATGCTAAGCTTTCTGTTGGGCTATCTTTTTTTAAAAAAATTTTTATGTCATTTAGCTTCGTTTCAACTGGAAAAGGATTATTTCGATGATGCACCTTCAGATCCTTGTTCAACTCAAAGGTGAGTTACCGTGCATGTGAAATTTTAGTGTGTCTTGTATTCAGGTTTCCCAGAAACCCATTGGTGTACCTTGATTTATATGTTTTGTTCTTAAACATTGTTTTCCGGCTTGAACTTTTCAATAGGTTCTCTAAGCCCCATAGTAGTGGCAGCTTAATGCTATACATCTGCCAGTATAAATGAGGTTTCAATTTAAGCTCATGTCCAAGCATGAGCAAATTCTTTAGTATTACCATTTTGAGTTGTATGCTACCTCATTTTATCAAGAACATTTAGGTTATCATAATCCACCAGAGACTGACTCCAGCATTCTTGAAAACTCAATTTCTAGCTCACAAGAGTCGAATATTGCCTTGACGGATTCCTTGAAAGACTCAACCAGCAACGCCAGTTCAATCCTCAACTGGAGTTCATTCAGGAGGCGTTCAGATAGGCAGTTCAAACGAGGAGGCACTGAGACTTCGACTCCAATCTTGAGTAGAAGCCCTGAGAAAGAGATATCTGATCTATCTACAAGCACTTCCATGAAGAGTGAAGAAACTCCTAGTGAGAATACTGCAGGGCTTCTCACTACTGATGGTATAAAACATAATTCTGCTGGACCTGTTGCATTGAGATCCACGTCTTCAGAGTGTGATCCCATTAATATGACATTTCCTTTGTCAATTTCAGTTACAGTAATTCAAGATCCTCCACCAGACCACAATGTTGACTCAAATTCAAAAGATTTGGGGCAACCAAAAGTGAGGTAAAAGGTTAAACCTACAACATTTCTTGACATTTGTCACATTTAGGATATACAGCTGCAATAAATGGAGAAATCTTAGCTCTCGAATCCTTTTTGTTTTATCTTTTCTCCAGAGATAACACTTTGCACCCGATGCTCTTCAAGGAGGGGGGCCTTCCAGACTATACTTTGTTAACTTACAAGTTGAAGAACGGAGAGGTCCTCTAAATAGTTAAATGAACTACATTATCCTTTCCCAACACCAGAAATTGTAACAACTCTCAGGAACATTCACACTTCCCTGTCTTGTAGGTTCTAAAGCAAGGATATAAACTTGGGACAGGTATAATCTGTGAATGTTGCAGTATTGAGGTATCTGTCCCAAACTTAGCAATTGCCCAAGTTTGATCTGAGGCCTTTCTTCATTCTGCCCAAGGGCTAATCACGTTTTTTTTTTCCTCTTTTGAGGTGCAGTATACTCCTTCACAATTTGAAAAGCATGTTGGAATGGGGAGAAGACGGCAACCGTAAGCATCATCATTATATATAGAGGCGTTTGAAATATTTTTTACTCAAAAAGGGATCTTGGTGTTTTGTTCATAAATGGAGGATATTTGTGGTTTCAGGTACCGTAGCATTTATACTTCAGACGGATTAACACTTCATGAGCTGGCACTGAAACTGCAGGATGGTTTAAGTTCAAATGTAAATATTGATGAACTCCCTACTCTTACTTCAGGTAACTTAATGGATCTTTTAGTTTTCTGTTTATTTCATCCAAGTGGCAATGTGCCCTTATGCTTTAGTTATTTAAAATTTTGCATTTTGAGGGTCATTGCAATAATCACGATCTCTGTAGAATTATTCAATAGGTTCTTTGTGAATATTTGGGCATGTATGTATTAGTGTCTTCGTGTTTCTTTGTTTAAAGAGGGGAACCTATGTATATAGTCTTTATGTTTACCTGTCTAAAAGAGGGGAACCTACTGTGATAATGGCATTATCAGTTCATCACTTTGAGCAGGAAGATTATCATGTTTTTGTCCACATTTGATCTCTTGATGACTCATTGCCTTCTTAGTTAAGAACTTGAGACTATAGGATCAAAGAGGTAAGAGCTTGTTTGCTCCAATATCCAAGGTGAAGCCCTATGTCTTAAGTTTCTGGGTGAATTGGATGGTGCATACAATAAAAATATGGTGACAGAGCCAGGATATCCTAAGATTGAGATTAGGTTGCTGTAGTTTAGAAAACAATTTCAGGTCTCTTGAGCCTATGTAAGAGCCTTATAATGAAGCATTGGGTGAAGTAGTGCATGAAACTTCTTAAGGAGCAAGATAGCCGCATTGCTGAGGTTTAGTAATAGAGCTCATGCTTTTTAATGGGCAACTTAGATGAAAATGGGACATCTATACTTGATTTAGTACATGAAGTAACTACTCATTTTCTTTAGACAATGAATGAAGTAATATTTTGTCAAGTAAAGAGTGAAAAATATTGAATATATTTGCAAGATGCTGCCTCGCTGGGAAATATTCAGAAGATGATTTTATATTTTAATTGTTGTATGCGCATGAGTACCTAATCTTCTGTTGCTACCATGAGTTATGGTTAAGCTTTGCATCTAAAATTAGATAAGAGGTAGAAATTTAAGCTTTTGGACAATCCATTTACGTGCTTTTGAGCCTTAGATTTCTTGACAGAACCTAATGACTACTTTAGGACCACGAGGTTTATATCTGAAAAATAGCATATAACTGTTTCAGCATGGGGACACTGGCACACTAGTCAACTAAGGGTTTGGAACCTTCCCTCCTAGCACGCAAAATGGAGTGACGACTTAGCGCACGATTAATTAAATATTAGCTAAAAAAACTTGAAAATGGATTAAGATGATTTTTCTAAAGTTTCATATTTATTTATTTATTTTGCAAAGAACTCGCTGTTTAGCAGTTCGGTAAGCGTGCGCGTGGAAAATGAGGGGGTAGAGGTTAGAAACCTTCAGTGCTGAACACAGCCTAATTGTGGCAGCTGAAGAATCACTTCACTATCTTACTGAGGACCAACTTTGGCATAGATAAATTATATGCAGAGACTATGCTATTCTTGCAATTCATGCAGATCTTTATGGAGCATACTCAAATTTTTTTTCTCCATAACATGGTTTAGAATTTCTTTTTGTTGTGCAGTATCCTTTTCTTTCTTTTTTGAAGAGAACATTATCGTTTTTCTGTTATGTGCCAAGATTATATTACCAAATCATTATATATTCTCTAGACTCTACATCATAAGCCTACATATAAGCACAAAAACATAAAAAGTCCAAGGAATTAATGCTGAAATAATAAAATATGTCTGAGGGGGTAATAAGCAACTCCCTCATTCTTGTTTTATATGTGGGACTGTTGCCTGTTGGCTAAAGTTATGCAGAGGTTAGGGTAATTGGGCACAGGGCATGTTGAACAGCCTGCTTATATTTTACAAAGAGAACAGTCCGTTTCTGTTGGAATCTGTCCTTTGAACTGGAGAACTTGTACTCTTTCTCTCCATGCTTTCTGAGGAGTAAAGAAGTGAAGGATGGTGGAATATTGCAATTTTCAGAGAGACATTGCTGTCTTCAAACCATGGTTCTCCTACTCCTTGTATGGTTTACCCATAGGCGTTTGGTGGATTACACCTGTTAACTCTGGAGGCCTGGTCCAAACAACGCTGTAGTGTTGTATAAGTTAAATACATGATGGATCTGTATCCTGTCTTTGTTGCTTTTTACTTGCATGCATCCCATGGTGATCTTCTGTATAGATATGTATATTCAACTCCTCATCTACTTGCATGTTTGAAATGTGATTACTGTCTCATGTAGACCCTTTTTTTTTTTTTGCAAATACTAGAATATTCTGTCTATTAAGATGTTTAAGAGCATTTGTTTTTGAGTGAGCAGCATAAGTATGCATTTGGGTTCTGTGCATAACAGATATAACAACTGAACTTCCCTGCATAGCAGGCCTTGTTTTGCTAATTTTAAGATGTATATATACCGTGTTGAGTCAGTAAATAATTGATGGTCTTACCCTAGAGTGCCGATTGTTTCCGTTATCACAGGTTCTGGCAAAGAGTATTCGACCACTAGCAGACCTATTATTGTTCCCTTGAAGCGGACACTACAAGAAAGAGTACTTACAGTAGAGAGCTGTTATATGTGTCGGTAAGAATAAGAATATGTGGACTGGTCGCAATGTCAAGATTATGTAAGCTCATTTATATGTAACTCTACACCTTAAAATTTTGACAGGAAACCCCATACGGTGCTTGGAGTTATTAGTGTTGACATGATTGTCTTCTGTAACCAGGTTAATGTTCTGCTTAATGTTTTTCTCCCACAACAGATTGCCTTTGATACTTAGATCAGTCTTATAATATTCAAAAAAGAAAGATAAGATTGTCACCTTGAAATTGTGCCGTATTCTCATGTACAGTGTGAGAGAGCATTGCATGTTAAGTGCTACAACAATGGACTTCAAAAACCAAAGGTATGTTGCCTTGTCCTTTGTATGCGGTGGAGGAAGGCTATCATTTTGATTTGTGATAGGCACGTGTTGTCTTGAACAACATTTCAGGCACCTCTGAAAGTTTTGGGAGAATACACGCAATTCAACTTCATGTGTTGTGAGAAATGCCAGTTGCTACGTGCTTCTTTACACGAAGGACTGAAAAAGAGGGAAGATATTGCCTTTCTCAGACGGATAAGATACAACATTTGTTGGCAACTTTTAAATGGAACGAATATGAGGAGCGATGTGCAACATCAGGTCATTGAGATCTTCAAAGTAAGTTGCGTGGTGCTTCTGGTTGTCATTTTGAAAACTCCTGATTTGTCTATAATTAAATATGCCTCCATATGTCAATGACTTATGTGCTGCAAAAGTCTCACTTTATCCTGTATCTATAGGATGCATTTGCAGAAACAGCTCCCCAGGACATTGATGACATAAGAAATATGGTTAATTCGTAAGTTCTCACTTATTTTTCTTACTTTTAACTGGCATGCGAATGACCACATGAATCACCATTCACCTTTTTTTGTGTGTGTATTGAACTTAAGTAAATAACTCTAAGCTTCAATGGTTGCAGAAAGGATACAACTGGAGAGAAGGATTTTCGTGGAATCTATTGTGCAGTGTTAACCACAAGGTAATACATCTGTGGTGTAGCACACACATAACAAAACAATCACCCACACAATCAACAGCACACCCCCAAAAGAAATATGAGTGTGCACATGCAGTCTATTAATGGGTCTAACTGATTATTTTTTGTTAAGCAAGAAAACAAGTGAATGCTTTTATTTTTCATGTCGTTTGGTTGTTGTTATCATACTCTTCACCCCTTTTTCTGTATTTGCAGTACATTTGTTGTGTCAGCTGCAATTCTGAAAGTGCGTACAGAAGAAGTTGCAGAACTTGTCCTTATTGCTACGCATAATGAGTGCAGAAAGAAGGTGGGGAAATATTTGAACTGTTTAGTCCATAATGAACTCTGTTATTTATCTGGTGTAATCTAGTTTGCATATTTGCACAAAGGCAAACCTATTCTTTGGCTTAAGAAGAGAGATGCTGTGCACCTAACTTGGAAATGTTAACAAATGGTCTTCCCTGAAAAGGTAGAAACCCACGGAACAATGGATCGGATTTAGCTTAAGCCAAAACATAAATTTAATGATTTGGATTGTGGTTTGAACAAAGGATCATGACTTATATTTGGTTTGTTGTTATGGAACCACAGGCATAAGCAGACCCTTCATGCAGCATTTTTCGCATTCCTGGAATTCCTTGATCATTTTTGTTCCTTCCAGTTCCTTCTTTTTAAAAATATTGGAGTACTACCATAGATAGCCTCATTTTGGAAGTGTTTCTATTGCCATGCCAAAAATTAAGTTGCACAATTGTTAGTTGCCGAACTGCAGCCTGCAGGTGGTAACGAATCAGGCTTTTTATGTTTTTTTTTCGGACTACTTGAAGTGATAAAGGCATTTGCTCTCAGCCATTGCATGTCTCTCTGCAGGGTTATTTTTCGCTTCTTCTAAGTCTAATTGAGGCGCATTTAAAGGCCTGGAATGTCCGTCTTCTTACGGCACCTGTTGATCCTGAAATGGCACCAATCTGGTCTGAGAAACTTGGGTACACTATTTTGTCAGATGAACAGGTAATACAACCCTTCCTTGTATTTGTGCATTACCTGTGGTTGCTGAAAACATTAGCTTGTACTAGCCAACAACAGTAATCTCTCCAACAACAGTACTGACATTGCACTATTGATGCTGTGCTTGTTGACAGAAGCATTCTATGCTGATGGCACATCCCTTGGTGATGTTTGCGAACCTAAGCTTGGTGCAGAAATCACTTGCTTGAGAAGACCGATTACGCGGTTTTTAGGATAAAATGTTACCTTTGGAGAGCAACAGGACAGTTTTTGTAGCCTGCCATCTTTTTAATGGATGGTTCGAGGCTCAAGATGTATAGAGAAGAGAGTAGAGGCATCTCAGTAGATTTTTTTAGCAAGTAGTAATCGGCAAAAGAAATACTAAAAAAAAGAGTAGTTTTTGTGATTAACGTCGAGTGAATGATTCGAAGCTGAAGTACCTAAGAATAGAAGCGTCTCTGACATTATATACTCTGCTGAGAGGGTTGCGTGTGTGATGTACATCATTTGCCACACATGTTCTCAGTTCCTTACTTTCTTAATGTCAATTAGGCATATTAATATCCTGTCACACTTGTACCCGTATCCCGTATCTGTATGGTATGCATACCATCTCAGGGCAGAAGATTTGTCGCTGATTGCTGAGTTCCTTTTTACTGCAGTTTTATAAGCCGTGACATATCAGATCAACGAAAAATAATTTTAGAGCTGGAAATACTTCTGTTGTTAGTATTCTTAGGACTGAACTTTTATACTTTTATTCTTCGCTGTTTAGAAGTCGAATCTGAAAAATAGAAAACAATAAAAGAACACCTAAACTAATTTGAAATTAACGAGAAATAATGTTAGGGGTGGACTTTTAAACTTATATTCTTAGGACTGGACTTTTATACTTAGACTCTTAACGGTTTAGAAGCCAAAGCTAAAAAATAGAAAATAATAAAAGAACACTTAAACTAATTTAAATCAAAGTTATAAGTTTCAAAATTGGGTGGCACGGAATGTTAAAGTAACACAATAGTGTGGCTCCACGAATCATCAATTATCATTTTTTTTTCTACAATTGGCGGTAAATTTGGTGTTCAATATTTAGAACAATGATCATGAACATCTTATAATCCATGTGAATGACATATCTATCAGACAACTACAGAATATTATGAGACATGTAGACAACTGTGGAATGTAATGAGGCATGGAAACATGTGTATCCAAGTTTTTTAGCTATAACACCACAGTGACTAACCACACCATCCTACAGTTTTGTTTGTTGTGAAGCCAGTGTGTGATGAATCAGTGTCAGGACGAGGAGCAGGCTTCTGCTGCCTTGGTTTAGCAGGATCAACGAAAATAACCCATCCATCCAGAAACTTTGCGTTCATCTCCTGCCGAGCATTCTCAGCTTCTTCTAAAGTAGCATATCTAACAAAACCGAATCCCTTGGATCTTCCAGAAATCCTATCTGTAATGACTTTTGCTACACGAGGCCAAAAGATAATAAATAACAGTATAACACACATCAATATGAGTTGTGAAGAAAGCTACCAGTGGTCAAAACATTTACTACTTGGATCAAGCTTTGTACCTTCAAGTAGCTGCCCAAAGGGAGCAAAGGCATTTTTAAGCTTCTCATCCGTCGTTAACCTTGAAAGGCCTGTGTTGCATCACATTAGGCATATGTGAGCATGCAAACAAAAACAGCATGACATAAAAAATAAAGTCTAATTCAAATACATAAATGTAGTATTAGTACATGCAACAACAAATATAGAAACGTAATAGAATTCGACAGTACAGGATATGATGTCTTCCTCAAGAATGCCGACAAGACTCAGCTGTATTATTAGTCAGTGGGTTCAGTTGTTCATGTAAGCATATACGGGCAAAGATATTGACAAAGAGCAGAATAGAGCATGAGATTAAGAAGCATACTCAGAGACAGATCTGTAGAAAGCAAACACACTAGTTTGCTCTGATTTAGCATAAAACATGATAACATCGCAGCACAGTACACACAGCCATCCCAAATTATACCGAGAAATCGGGCTCCCCAAATCATCTTCATAACAAATATATCCATCTTATGCAGAAAAATGTGATGTGAAACAAAGGGAGGGGAGAGTTACCGCTGATGAAGAGCTTGGGGGCGGTCAGCGGCGGCACGTTGCTGACCTCGGCGCCGTCGCCGAAGACGGAGGAAAGGGGCGACTCGGTGGGCAAGGGGGCGGACGAGGAGGAGGAGCAGAAGGTGGCGCGGAGTATTGAGGAGGCGGCGGCGGAGGAGGAAGAGACGGGGGTAGAGCCGCGGAGGAGGCGGTGGAGCAGCGAGGAGGAGAGCGCCATGGCCGCCGGCTAAAACCCTACCTCCGCCTTGGCTCTGGTGCGGTGCTGCGGATATCCCCGGTCCGACCGATCTGCTGGGTTCGGGTTCGACCTGACCAGGTCCGCATAGCAGAGTGGGCTGGAGTTACGCGGTTACACGCCATCCGGTCCAAAATATGGCGCATAGGAGAGAACAACTCGTTTCCAGCGGATAGATCATCGAGCCATCCAGATCATTGGAGAAACTTCTGAAGCAAAAGCCCAGCATGTTGGGACAAGGTAGCAGTAGAGTATCGCTATTGAAAACTAAAATAGATGTTACATATCCTTTATCGTTTTATGACAGTGCTTGTCAGTCGCAGATATAGATATTCCAGCCTTGCCGGCTTATGTTTGAGCGTATTGGCGCAACTTATGCGCACTTATAGCTTGAAGAAAGTAAATTTGGTGCAATTATCCCAACTTATGTTCATTTGATAGCTTGAAGAAAGTAAATTTGCTGCAATTGAAATTAATTGTTGTGATATAGTGTGTCTCTCTCCTCACACTATACCACAACTATCGCGTATAGAGCTCCCACCTCCATATAGACTTACGCGACCTCCCCTTCTTATTTCAAGTAGGTTGTGTTCTATAGGAAAGGACGAAGAGTAGTTTTTCATGCGCAATTTCGCCTTGTGTTTTTTTAAAAAAATTTCTATATGGAAGTTGTAAAAAACTTATTGATATATTGTTTCAGTTCACAATCCTCACAAATAATGCAGTAAGCACTTATTAAAGCAGTTTATAATTTCAATCCAATTTCTAGCAAAAGGATCATTGATTTTATACTTATCACGAGAAGTTCACTGAAATTACATTCTTAGGAGAAGCAGCGTATACACACGGATAAAACACGGAGAAAATCTTTACGAGAGATGGTTGGTGTTTGGGAGGCAAGAACGGCCGGCGGCGGGGCGGCCATTACGCGGATGGGAGCACCTTCTTGACGATCTCGTCGCTGAGGGAGGCGATCTGGGCGTCGAGCGCCTTGACGGCCTCCTCCTTCTGCGCCTCGAGGTTGGCGAGCGCCTCCACGAGCTCGGCCTCGACGCGGCGGCGCCCCTCGTCCAGCTTCGCCTCCAGCTCCTGGGTGGTCTCCTTCTTCATCTTGTTGAGCGCCGCGGCGATCTCGGCGCGTGCCGCCTTCAGCACGGCGGCGGCCTGCTCCTCCAGCTGCCGCACCTCCTCGGACGCGTCCTTGACGCCGCCGAGCTCGGCACGGATCTTGGCGTCGCGCTCGTCCATGAACTTGCCCAGCGGCGTGAAGTAGAGCTTGTCCAGCGCCACCATCAGCAGCAGGAACTCGGTCGCGATCAGCGGGAGCGTCAGGTTGAAGTCGAACAGCGCCGCCTTCTCCATCTGCTCCGCCAGCGCCGGTAGCGGCGCCGCGGCCACGGCCACGGCCGCCGTCGCCACGAGCCCCGGCAGCTGCTTCAATCCCCTCCGCGGTTGCTGCTGCTGCTGCCGCCTGGGCGGCTGCACGGACGACGACGCGACGACCGGCGCGCGGCGAGGGGAGCACGAGGTGGCGGTCGCAGCCATCATAGCCGTCGCCATGGGCTAGTGCAAGGAGTGCGCGGCGCGGAGGAGGTAAGCAGCAGCAGCGGCGGCGGCGGCGGCGACTCGAGGTGTGGTGAGCTGAGAGAGAGAGGAGGAAGCGGGCTATCTAATCCGAACGGGTTGGGTGGTGAGATTCCGAAGCAACCAAGGCCACACGACGCCGCTGCTCCATCGCCGCCACTAAAAAACCTCTCCTCGATATATCACGCCAATTTGGGCCGTACAAAACTAGTTGGGCCCATTAGCCCATCCAAATTTTAGGCCCCTACAAAAGCACAACGGGCCGTAGCCTGTTTAGTACTACTACAATCCCGAGCGTTCACTCCCCCTCCCGCATCCAACGGCTCTGGAGAAATTCTACGTCATCGATCCGCCTCCCACCCATGTCGACCAATGGGGTTCCACCACGCGCCTATATATAATTGAGGCCTTCTTCCCCTTTTGCCTCAACTCCACGCGAAGGGAAAAGGTCTTCCTCCTCCTCACGAATCCCGCCTCTCTCTCTCTCTCTCTCTCTCTCTCTCTCTCTCTCTCTCCATTTGAGCCGATCCCTCGAGAGGCAGCTCCGATGGCGCCCAAGGCAGAGAAGAAGCCGGCGGAGAAGAAGCCCGCAGCCGGCGAGGAGAAGTCGGCGGAGAAGGCGCCGGCGGGGAAGAAGCCCAAGGCGGAGAAGCGGCTGCCGGCGTCGAAGGCGTCGTCCAAGGAGGGCGGCGCCGGCGACAAGAAGGGGAGGAAGAAGGCGAAGAAGAGCGTCGAGACCTACAAGATCTACATCTTCAAGGTCCTGAAGCAGGTGCACCCGGACATCGGAATCTCCTCCAAGGCCATGTCGATCATGAACTCCTTCATCAACGACATCTTCGAGAAGCTCGCGCAGGAGGCCGCCCGCCTCGCCCGCTACAACAAGAAGCCCACCATCACCTCCCGCGAGATCCAGACCTCCGTCCGCCTCGTCCTCCCCGGCGAGCTCGCCAAGCACGCCGTCTCCGAGGGCACCAAGGCGGTCACCAAGTTCACCAGCAACTAGGCCTGTCTCTCTAGGGTTTCGATGCCATGCTTCTCTCCTTCCCTTTCCCCTCGTGTGCAGTGTGCTAGGTGGCAGTAGTTGCAAACTTGTGCCTGCTTTGTAAATTGTGCTTGATCATAATGGGCAGCTTGGATTTGAAGTAATAGACGTGTCGAGTGTTATTTATTGTCGGTGGCTGATTCGCATCTTGTGTTTTTCTTTTCTCTTTGCGATTGCGATTTGGGGATCTAGGGTTTGAGGAGATGATGCTGCGAGGTGGGCGGCTGGGTGGCTTGGCCTCTCGGATGGTTGGAGCCAAGCCTTTCAGCACGGAGATATTTGTGAGCAGTAAGTTCATCTCCATGTAATTAAATTTTCGCCGCCTACGTAATAATCTTGTGGTTTGCAAAATGTTTGGATCTGTGTGAGCCTGTGATGTGATGTCCTGCTGCTTCACAGGTCCGCTTGTGATGATCTGTGCGTCAGAACTTCATGAGTGAATGGGGTTTCTTGATCTGGTGTGATTCTGGGGGGTGTGGTGGATGAAATGAGCACTAAATGGTGTGTCCTTTAGCCCTTCTTTTTTTCTGAATATGATAGCTATGGCATGCCTTAAGTTGTTGAGGCTTGGTGCTTTCAGAATATGATTCCTTTTGATTGCAATGAAGGATCGATCAGAGGATGCTTTCTAGCGGGTTAGAGAATTACAGCCTAGATACATACTAGCTAGCTGTTGTTGTAGAGCTCATAGAGTTTGACAGATGCTGATTTATTCTCTTGGTGATAGAGTACTTAGAAGTCCCTAATCTGCTGAGCCTGTGAGATGCTCACCTGTTCACATGGACCATGAGTAGAACACATAAGTTGTCTGTAGATATTCTGCTATTTGTGCACGCTAAAGCCATGCAAGTTATGTTCTTAGTGGATTGTCCACTCGTTCTATCATGTTTTGATGTTGCTTGCTCATACAGCTTAAACATCCATTCACTCATTTTGGGATTTTGTAGGGCTATCATTTTACACAACAGAGGAAGAACTTAAAAATGTCTTCTCACCATTTGGCGCTGTTGAGGAAGGTACTAGTCAGTACTCAGTAGTCACATGCTTTTCAGCACAGGCAATTTAAATCTTTGTTGTTGCTCTTAATTGGCATTCAAGTTTCACTCTGCTTTATCTACCTTATCAAGCGTAGCTCGATTGGTAAGAGAACCAAACTGGAAGGCCAAAAGGATTTGGTTTTGTTAAATATTCTTCTCAAGCAGACGGAGAGAAAGCTGTTAAGGAAATGGATGGACGGGTATTTGCTCTGCTCATCCCCTATCTTGCCTATGACCCGCAATTTACCTTTCTGATGTTAGTTTTGATTCTTCTTTATCTGAGAAGAGTTCTGAAAATCTGTATATAGTACTTTCTACCTGGTTTTCAATTGGAATTGAAGGTACATGCACACCACACACACATTTCTAGCTTAATTACTTGAAGCCTAGAGTGGTTTATCGTGATTCATGATAACACTTACCCTCGTAGATTGAGTGGGCCTCATTTGTGATGTTATCTCTGATCTACTTCAGATACTAAGGGGATAAAAAAAATCCACTGATACAAACAACTAAATTAGATGAGGCACTTAACTGGACAACTAAATGAAAAGGACAAGTTGACTGCAGAACTGATCTCTCCGCTGATTAGACTCTTTACAAACAACTACATTAGCTGAGGCACTTACCTGGAGTACTAAATGAAAAGGACAATTTGCCTGCAAAACTGATGTACCTAATTTCAAGATATAATGTGTTGCATGTTTGTAATCTTTGGCATAACTGCATGGTGTGGAACAGAACTAATTTTTGTAGTTCTATGAGATCGAGACACTAAGCAGGGATTTATAGTATTTTACGTTCAACCCAGATTGAGAACTTGGCTAGTTTACTGTAAAAATCATGTGAAGCAAACTTTTTGCTGCCTTTTTCTGTAAAACCATGTGGACCAAACTGTGTGGTTTATTTCCTTCTGTGAGGAACATTGTGAACATTGTGTTGCTTATATAGTTCTTTTTATTCTGTTAATCCCAAAGAAAATATCTTCTAGATTGGCCATAAACTTTGAGATTAGATATCCATCTTGCTAGCATGTTGGCCCTCCACCATTTTTGTCACTGCAGAATGCTTTTATTTTGGGATTCATTCAGATCTTTCTTCATGTGGAAATGATTCGTATTCAGCATAGATTTATACTAAACCAGCCTTCTTTTTTCCCCTGATTAGTCTGTTTTATTGTAAGACTAAACTTTCAATAAATCTTTTCTTTGGCAGATCATTCGTGGAAGACTAATTTTTGTGGAAATTGCAAAAGAATAAAACTGCATAGGGCATAGTCTATCACCATCGTTGCTGAACTGGTGCAGTTTTCCTGCCTTAAACCGTACTCGTACATGGCTAATCTGGCTCAGTTCCAACAAGACCTATGAGCACTTCTCCTGTCCTGAATGCGTAATTTTGTGACTTTTGTTGAGCCCAGTATTGGTTTGCGAACAACATTGTTTGTTTTTTTTTTAAGACAAAAGAAAGCTTTCAAACAGGAAAATTGTTGTTGGAAGGTTAGGTTGAATTTATGAACCCGGGCTGGAAGGTTATATGTGCGTAGAATGCTGGATGACCCATATACCCGCCCCTGCTCCACTAGCTATTTCTTCCACCGTTTTCTTCTGTGTCATCTATAAAGCGATATTGTTTGAATTTGATCTCAAAAGTATTAAAGCCGTGATGTATATCCGATGAACTGGTTTTGGATGGCTTTGTACCCTACGTCAGAGTAATGTGATCATTGACATGTGGACCATGTGGACCTATGAACACATTACCTAAGAGCATCTCCAACTGTCTCTCCAAATTAAACTCTCTAAATACCCATATAGTCAGCTTTCAGTCGATTTAGCAAGCCAAACTTATTCCTCACTCCAATATTCTTTTCATCTACACTCTTCATTACAAGCCTATGACACTGGGACCCACACGTCAGCCTCTACTCCTCTCTCCCTCTTCCTCTTCTGTCGGCCCTCTTCCCGTGCAGGTGATTGGCGACGGCGGTGACGCGGTGATTGGCGATGGCGGCGGCGGCTTGCAACGGTTACCTCGACGACGGCCATGGAGCAGAGGTGGAGGCCGCGCGGCCCCCGAATCCACCCCGCCGGCCAAATACGCGCGGGGCCGGAGGCCGCGCAGAGGCAGTGGAGGTCACGCCCCCCACCCTGAATCCGGCGGCGGTGGAGGCGGCGGAGGCGGCGCTAGGGAGTGGCGCGACGTTGGGACGACGATGCGGGGAGGCGGCGGACGCGGACGCGGCAAATCGGCGCAGGCAGCGGACCGCTGTTGCCGACGCATGCCGATGGACGGCGGCCCCCCAACGCCGACGCTCGCCGAGGTGCTCTCCCTCTCCCCGCCAACTACTCCCCGTAGTCGAGCGCCGTCGAGCTCCAGACGGCGAAGGATGGCGGCCCAGACCTTGGCGACGACAGCAGCTGGCGGCCAGACGGCGGCGGAGGTCGCGCGGCCCCCTGATTCCACGCCGCCGGCCGAATCCGGCGAGGAAGGAGGCGTAGGAGTCCACACGGGGGAAGAAGGCAAAGCGGCTGCCGCCGGAGAGGGATCCGACCCCTTCTTCCCCATCATCGCTGCTCCCTCGTTGCCGTCGCCAACACAGCCTCCCTTGCTCCTGCCTCGTCATCGCGGAGCTCTCTTGGTGACGGAGGAAATCGGACGGCGACGACGGTGCAGGTGGGAGGCGGCGACAGCGCGGGACGGCGATGGCGCGGTACGACGATGGCGGCGGCGATTGATCTGTGCGGGGAGAGAGAGAGAGAGAGAGAGAGGAGAGATTTGGGGGGGGGGGAGCAACGTGGGGCCCATGGCTAGCAGCCAATTTGGCTAGGCAGGCGGGATGGCCAAATTTGGCGTAGCCAAGAGCCAATTTGGTGGCCAGTCGGATGGAGAGGCTGTTGGAGTGGTTTTTTTCTCAAAACTTGCTAGAATTTAACTTGAAGAGTGATTTGGCCATTCTATTGGAGATGCTCTAAGAGGTTATAGTTCTATGGGCATGGCTAAAGTTGGATTATCTCACTTTAGTTCAATTAAATTAATTAGAATGCACTGATTAACCTAGGATAGGTAAGGGCTCCTTTCTATGTAGGAATTTTGCAGTAATTAGTTCAATTCTTGTATAAAATTCCTCCAGTCCAAATATGGGGACGATTCCAATTGTGCTATGATTTTTTTTATTTAATTTTTTAATAAATATAAAAAGATTTTAAAAAAATCTTGTACTACTGAGTTGCCTTGGCCTGAGGATGTGCCGGAAGTTTCTTGTTTACAGGAGCATACAACCATTTCTTCAAAATTAAATTGTACTAGCAGATATAATATTATAATCCATCATTAGTTCACTACAGGAAAAATTAAGCGTGCTCTGTGAGATATGGAAATAGGTACAAAGGTTATATAGTTGATCAAAATTAAATACCCTTGACGAAATGAGTGTAACTTAAATGGTTAGATTCTTTATGGTGGAACTAGCTCACTCAAATTCGACACATAGACTTTGACACATTTACTTACATTTACGACTAATTATTCTTTTAATGGTAGACGACGTACTCATGATGATTGTTCGTAGAGTTAGGATATATATGTGCGTATTCATAGAGTGAGTGCGTATTATGAGCGCCTATGTTGTACTATGTTTTCTAAAAAATAAATGTCCTTGCTTAAGGAGGGTACAAACAAGACCCTATTACAAAAATGGATCTTTCAAATATATTATTTCATTTGTCCTAAAATATACTTCCTCCGTCCAAAAAAATCAACCTAGAAGCGGATGTGACTCCTTCCTCCTGGCTGTCCAGATTCATAGTAGGTCTGATCATATCCCCTACTAGGTTAGCTCTTTTTTTTTTTACAGAATGAGTAACAAATTAGGAGTACATTTATCCCTAAATATAATAACTTTTTTTTTCAACCAATCACAACCTTCTACCTCTTAATATCCTCACCTATTTTCTATTCTCAACAAATCACAATCATAATACATTTAATTTTACCCGTGTTCAACACCAAAATGACAGGTAGTAACATAAATACAGAGATGGTCTATTCATAAGGATGTGGATCTTGACCCAAAATAAGTTCATAGCGGAATTGAGGAGCAAGTTTATTTGCCTGTTGGCCCATAAATGGAGTACAGCTCAAGACACAATTGAGGCGCCAAGTAGCACCAAACTTCCATGGATTTAGCCCGCCCAATGCCATAGCGAAATCCCAAGACACATTTTCATTTCGTACCCGGCTTCCCGCCATTCCCCCCCTCCACTAATTCAAACCAGAGCGCCAGATTGCCTCCCAAAATGCAAATTCCAACCAATCACTTCAACATCCAACAAAATCACAGATGCTGAGATACCCATACTTAGGCATTCGGTGATTTCCATTCCAAACACCAAATTTTTGAGGCGGCACTAAGCCCAACACACCACCAACAAATTTGGGTGATTTTAAGTTACCCGCCCAACCCAAGCAACCAAATTCGAACATCTCACAAGATCGGATCTGACAATTGAGAAAATTCAGATCTCCACAGCCAAAGCATAAGGAGCAAGAATGGAAACATCTCTGAAGAAAAATTTAACATCTCTTAAATTTATCTTCTTGAACAGACACAAGCACAGATCACAAGGTTCAACGACACCACCATAGATTAAATCAACAGCATTAGACTACTAACAGACACACATCCCGTCCAATCTACTCCAGCTAAACAAGCAAAGCGAGGCGCCGACGCCTAGGCCTTCTTGGGGGACTTCCCGGCGGCCTTCTTGGGCGACTTGGCCTCCTTGCCGGCGGCGGCGGCCTTCTCCGCCGTCTTCTTGGGCAGCAGCACCGGGTTGATGTTGGGCAGCACGCCTCCGTGCGCGATGGTCACGCCGGCCAGCAGCTTGCCGAGCTCCTCGTCGTTCCTGATCGCCAGCAGCACGTGGCGCGGGATGATCCTGTTCTTCTTGTTGTCCCTGGCCGCGTTCCCGGCGAGCTCCAGCACCTAAGCAATCGAACAGAGAGGACACCACCAGATCAGCACCACAAATCGAAATCTGCAGATGAGGCTGACGACAAAGTGGGGGAGTGGGCGAGCGTTGTTACCTCGGCAGCGAGGTACTCGAGGACGGCGGCGAGGTAGACGGGGGCGCCGGTGCCGATGCGCTGGGCGTAGCGGCCCTTCTTGAGGTAGCGGCCGATACGGCCGACGGGGAACTGGAGCCCGGCCTTGACGGAGCGCGACACCGCCTTCTTCCTCGGCCCGCCGGCCTTCCTCCCGGCGGCTCCCTTCTTCAACTTCCCACCCGCTCCGGCTCCGGCGGCGTCCATGGCTAGCCTAGCTAAGCTGGTTGCTGCTGCTGTCGAAGGCGAGGAGGATTTTTTTTTCCCTTTTCTTTAGTCGAATGCGATATGGCGATGGCGAGACGAGGCCGATGGGGTGGCGTATTTAAACGGTTGGGGGAAGGGGAGGGTGGTGGGCCCGTCGATCCGTGGGAGGGGAGATGGACGGTCGGATCGTGGGGTGGTTGGACGGCTCGGATGGGGTTCGCGGGGGCGCGATCCGTGGGAGGGGCGGATGGGCCAATCAGAGGAGAGGGAATTTGGGAGCACGAAATTTTTTTGCGCGTCCGTTTTCCCGCCCGCGGGATGGTTGTTCTTTTTTGGGGAAAAAAGCAGCGCCACACAGGCGGACGGTGAGGTGGATGGCGCTCTGAGCTGTGAACACGAGGATTTGGTGATTTTGTGATTAGTACATCTTAGCCCTTGTTTATTTCCAATTTTTTTCTTCAAACATTAAAACTTTTCATCACATTAAAACTTTTCTACACACCAACTTCTAATTTTTTCGTCATATCGTTCTAATTTTAACTAAATTTCCAATTTTGACGTGAACTAAACACACCTTACATGTTGATAAAATTTTGGAAGAGAATAATTAAGGATTGGATTTTTGTATGATAACTTTTGAAAAAAAATAAGGAAAGAGGTGGGGTGAGTTTGGAAGTTTTGTTTTTTTTTCACCCTACTGTTTTAAACTTTCTTTTTGTTGGTTCCGGCCTAGAGGGAGGTAACGGAGCGAATTTAAAACTATAAGCTAAATAAATGTTATAAGTGGAAGTAGATAGGATAATACGACAAAAGAATTGGAAATTCCTTCTATATTGGAACTTCTAATATAACAGTTGCGAGAAAGGAACCATATCCAAAGAAGGCAACTTATGCCTCAATTGATTTATATATTGTTAAGGATATTATTGTCGTGGATTATCTATTTAATTGTATAGCAAATCTATTAAACAACCCGAACATTTAATTTCTGGATTAACGTACCTGGAGAAAATGCTGGAGGGGATGATGCAAGTGGTGATGTACATGACCTTGGCGACACACCGGTAGATTGCTCATTGGGTAAAAAACCATTGAAGCGAGGGTCTTCCAGCACCGCCACTAGTCCATACAAGAAGGTTAAGAACCCCATGGTTAGGATAATGAGGAATATTCAAACCACTATGGATATCAATTGTGATATTGCCAACAAGGTGATGCAAGGTGAATTTAGGTTCAATTCCATTAAGGAGGTGATGGATTTGGTGGTGGATTGTGGGGCAGCAGAAGGAAGTGCGGAGCATTTCATGGCTACAAGATTATTTGTGAAAGCTGAACATCGTGATATGTTCAAGACTCTTACCACCAAGGCGGGAAGGCTCTCTTGGTTGCAGAGATGGTGCGAGAAGGAAGGGCAGCAGTAGAAAACTGCTAATTATTTATATGCATGAACTAGTTATCTCTGTTTTTACTTTGTCAGACAATATGTATTAGCAAGATTGCTACTTATTTATTCGCATGAACTTATGTATTGCCTGGCCATGTAATATGGCGCCTTAATTTTGATTGGATGAACTACTGTTTAGTGATCCATCAACATGGTCTTTCTGTGACTATTGAGGTGATATCATTTGTTGCATTGTTTGTAGATGGGCATGTATGGAAGTGATGATGTCGATGAGGAGGAGGATGAAACTATTATTGTTGCTAGCAGACAACTAGATATGATGAGAAAATTTGGACCGGTGTTGACATCATTTGGTATGTTCTATGCTGAAAATTATTTGAACAAGTCCAAGTATAAAAAAGCTAATTTAGCGGGTCATGCTTGGGTTATGAGAAACCTTGAAGTTCCACAAGATTGTTATGACATGTTTAGAATGAGTAGGCCACTCTTTGAGAGGTTACATAATTTGTTGGTCTTATCTTATGGTCTGAAGTCAACTAGTAAGATGGATTCAGTTGAAGCTTTAGGAATGTTTTTGTGGACCATTGGGGCTCCACAATCATTTGTTCAAGTTAAGAACTGATTTGAGAGGTCAAAAGGAACAATCAGTAGAAAATTCAATGAAGTGTTGCAGAGTATCTATCTCCTTTCAAAAGATCTTGTCAAACCTAGAGACCCAAACTTCACAACTATTCACCCAAGACTACTTGGTGATCGGTTTGAGCCCCATTTCAACAATTGCATAGGTGCAATAGATGGGACACATATACCAGTAGTTGTGCCCGCATCAAAGGTGGTTCAACATGTGGGTAGAAATAAATATCCGACGCAAAATGTCTTGGCCATTTGTGACTTTGACATGAGGTTTACATTCATTGTTGCGGGGTGGCCTGGATCGGCACATGATATGAGGGTGTTCAATGATGCTTTGCGCAAATATGCCGCTATCTTCCCTCATCCACCACCTGGTAACTTCTCTTATCCGTTTAACAGTCTCGTCGAACTAGCATCAATTATAAAATAATGTCTCATGGTTTATGTTTATGCTAACAGGGAAATTTTACCTTGTTGACTCAGGCTATCCAAATCAACTAGGATATCTATCTCCATATAAAGGGACCAAATACCATTTACCGGAATTTCGAGAGGGTCCACGTCCTAGTGGCAAGAAGGAGGTGTTCAACCACTTGCATTCATCGCTTCGTAATGTGATTGAGCGCTCTTTTGGTGTTTTAAAAATGAAATGGAGAATTCTATTGGACTTACCAAGTTATCCGATGCTCAAGCAAACAAAAATAATACATGCTTGCATGGCGCTGCATAATTTTATTCGAGATAGCAAATTGAGTGATGAAGAGTTTGATCTGTGTGATAATGATGAAAACTACATGCCGATGCCTTCATCTCAAGGGAATGCCAGTCACATGGGAGACGAAGATGGGGACGCAAATGCCTTCCGTGATAGTATTGCTGATGCTTTATTTGCTAAGAGATAATAATTTGGTTTTAAGTCTATTATATATGTGGAAGAAATATTCATGAATGTATAATTATAAATATTTGTCAATTTTTTATTTATCTACATCAAATTTATATCTGTTGTATAAAGTCACCGAATGATGACAAAGGCATCCAAAAATAGTTGAGGGCATTCTAGACTTTAGCCATGCAAACTCAATAATCCAGGTTTCCAATAATCTAGAGAAAGAAACAGCTCTGTCGGTGACATGGGACCGGGGGTATCTTGACTAGAGGTTTGGGGCAGCTGCAGTCACCCACGTGGCCTGACCCCCTCGGGGGGGTCGGGCCCGAGGGTGATGTGGCCGCCCCTCCCTCTGTCTCCCCGAGGGGTCGGGCCGCTCCCGTTTCGGCCCCGAGGGCTGGGGCGCCCCGACCCCCTGTGGGTTTGGCGCCACGTGTGTGGGTTAGGTGAGCACAGCGGCGCTCACCTAACCGCGTTTATTGCGGGTTGGACGAGCGCCCCACGCCGCATTTAATGCAGCGCAGCACACTCGTTCGGTCCGTGACAGGTCACAGTGTGTGACCGGTCACAGACCGGTCAGATCGCGGGTTAGGTGGCAACAGGCGGCCTTTCGCACGCCTCGCCCCGTCCCGTCGGAATGATGAGAGCCTCTAGGCACTCGTCCCTAGCCGGAGCCGGCGTGCTGACTCCTGGAGTTAGCACGTCAGTCCCGGCTAGATTCATACCAGGCTTCATCGCAACCATTACAAGGAAGTCATTTTATGAAGAAGGGCTGACGTGTGGCATGCTAAACTGACGCGTGGTAGACAAGAATGACCGGTTTGTGACTGGTCTGACGCCGGTCACGTCATCGGCAGACAACCGTGCTCCCACGTTGCGCCTGCTTCCGGCGGAGTGAAGGTAGGTATGGCCCATCCCATCAGAGGGTCATTCGGACAACAGCCATGGCAAATCTCCGCCCATTAATGAGGGAGTAACAGGGAGATCCCCGGTGTCAGGCGAGTGATGACGCTGGGCCTCACTCAAAGACAAGTTGTGATTTAGCTTCCAGGCGAAGGCGCAAGCCAGTTTTTCTTTTTTGGGAAGATAGGGTGAGTCCCCACCCAAAAGAAGAGTAGGTAGAAGTGGTGCATGTGGGATCCCCTTGAGATATAAAAGGAAGACCTTGCCCACTTAAGAAGGGGGGAGCTCGGGAAAGAGGGGGGAGAAGACCTGAGCTCGTAGAGGAGAGAAAGAGGAAGAGGGTTTCTAGAGTTTGAACTCTCTTGCTCTCCAGCTCTTTGTAACTCCTTCATACACAGATCCACCAGAACACAGGAGTAGGGTATTACGCTTCTCAGCGGCCCGAACCTGTCTACATCGCCCGTGTCTTGCGCATTTGCTCTCTCGCGAAACATTCCACAGATCGAGTGCTTAGAACCTCACCTAGCGCCCCCGGCCGAACCGGCAAAGGGGGGCCCGCGCGGTCTCCCGGTGAGGAGCCCCACGCTCCGTCAAGCTCACAGCTTATTTTCCTCTAGCTTATAATAATCCAGCTTATAATAATCTGACTCAATAAGTTGGATTATAATAATCCTAAGCTGAAAGAAACAGGGCCTTAGTTGCTCATGTCACTCAAACTAGTCATTACTTCAAAAATCTTGAAGCAAGTTTATAGCATTTGGTATTTATAGCCCAATCACTCAAACTAGTCATCGCCTCAGCCTTGATAGCTCGGCCCTTTACACCGTAGCAACGGTCGATGAGAAACTAACTATCGGGCCATTAAGAGGTGGATAGTCCGAGGACCTTTCAACTGGTGGATTATCCTATCTCAATTCAGACAATACGGTCCATTGAAGCGTGCTATCTAGCCTGTCGATGATCAACTTCACCCAAACAATCTGGTTGGCCTAGACAATCCGATTTGTACAACATCAGCCTAGACAAATATATTGTCATGTACGCCAATTTGCACAAGGGAACTGTCCAGCCTATACAACTCTGACTTTGACAAACATACTGTCTCGTACGCCAATATGTACAAGACAGATTGTCTAGCATGTTGATCCTCGATTGCTCAGACAAGTTTAGTAACCAGGCGGACAACACAACTATCCAAACTATTCCGCCCATTAGGCCTTTAGGGCGGCTTTATCAAACTCCATCCAAACTTTGATCAAGCTCACTTCCACTCACAAGGAAACTTTCATAATCTATAATGAGAATTTGAATTGTCTTGGGAAGCTAGAGGTTATGAAAATAGTTGCATCTACCAAAAGGTTCCAAAAGGAGTATCAGCCTCCATAGACACATATACAAGCCCAAGGAAATGAATCACACATTGTCAACATGATCTCATAACACGAATTCCACAAGAACTCCGTTGAACCGATACAAGAGTCTATGACAGTCGCAATAATGAGTCTATTAGTAGTATGGGCCAGGATCTATGATAGCGGCCAGTGTATGGAGATGGCTCATGGTTAGGTCCATGTAAAAAAATTGTACTCTATACATTTTTTGGCATGGACCAAACCCTAAGCCATCTTCATACATGGGTTGCTATTATAGATCCCGGCCCATATGGTCGAGAAAGGGCCCATATAGAAGAACCTCAAAGTTCCACTTTGCTTGGAAACCCCACCAATATTCAAGCCCTAGCTAATCATGCTATCTGATATCCAAATACTTGAACCATAAATTTCCCTCACATGAATGTTCTTAGCTAGCATATAATTCTCCTCTGCATCATGATTTAAACACACACTATCTCGTTTGATCTATTCACTAAGAGCATCATCAATGTTTCCAACCTAACTTGATATTGGGTCTAGGTACATGATGCAGTGCACGAGAGAGTGCACAATGTTTCTTGCCTGCCATTATAGAGAATTTTTTTTATTTATACATTTTTTTATAAAAATATTTACAAAAATAATTTTTTGTTTCGAAAATTTACAAATCTAATTGCCTGCCGCCCTCTAGAAGGGCGATTTTTAAAAATCGCCCTCTCCAAGGGCGGCAAGGGATCTAAATATAAAATTTTTATTTGTGTTCAAACCCTTCCCACCGGTTTTAATTGCTTAAAAACTAATAATGCTTATTCGATACTCCAAATGATTTTAAATGGAAAAGTGATAAACTACAAAGTTATAGATCTCATCAAGATCTACAACTTTTATATAAAGTTTATCTCCATCCAATATCGTTTGAAATGTAGATCTGAGATTTTTTTAAATGTGTTTTATATTTTGTAACGAATATTTGGACATCTTAAATGAAAAAGTTATTAACTACAAAATTGTAGATCTCCTTGAGCTCTACACTTTTGATATAAAGTTTTATTTCATCTGACTTTATATAATATAATTTTAAATTGTAAAATCATAGAGCTAACAAGTTATACTGGAAAATTTACATTTAGGTCCCTTGCCGCCCTGTGGAAGGGCGATTTTTAAAAATCGCCCTCCCAAAGGGCGGCAGGCGATTAGATTTGTAAATTTTCAAAACAACAAATTATTTTTGTAAATATTTTAATAAAAAAAAGTATAAATAAAAAAAATTCCATTATAGATGGCCAAAGGGGTTGCTCGGCCCAGGCAAGACCAGGCCCTGGCTCGAGGTTAGTAGGCCTAGCAAGGCTCGACCTACACGCGGGCTAGGCCGTACTCGCCCACGTGTTGCACCAACGGTCCAGGCACGGCCCAATAAGACTCGGGCTGTGCTGGGCCGACCCGAAGGCACGAAAGCCCATCGTGCTCCTCCTTAGAAAAAGTCTATTTTGCCTCTCTCATCTCTTTGGGCCGTTTCTTATATGACTAGAATAAGTCTATTTTGCGTCTCTCATCTCTTTAGACTGTGCCTTTAAAAGGTTGGAATAAGTCTATTTTAGCTCCCTCATCTATTTTGCCTCCAGATCGTTGGACCAAGCCGACCTATTGTGCCGAGACAAAGGCCCAAGCACGGGGCCAACATCAGTCGGGCCATGCCGTGCTTGGCCGGGCCAAAAACCCGTGCCATGGAGCAAGCCGAATTTGGAGCTTAACTGATTCTTCTCCCCCAAAGAAACGATATACATACATGATTGCACACAAAAATACAAACTTTATTCGGCGTGCGCCCAAACATCCCCTGTCACTGTTATAAATTAGAATTGAATCAGATGGCATGGCAGACAGCTTACTTATTGTGCCGTAACATTGTATAGCGCATTCCTTACACTTACAAAAGAATGCACGTTCAGCCGATTGATACAACAAAGGGCGAGTCTCAATATGATACAGATCGCTCAGATGCCTAGCTGCATCCGAACAGCGTTCCATTTCCATCAAGCGGAGACCGTTCTTCATAGACAGTGTAAGACTTTCACGTCGTGTATTCCGCATTTATCTCGACATACTTATAACTTAAATCACAGCCCCAGGCCTTTCCACTTCCTCCTCCCCTCCCTGGCAGATAAACACAACGAACATGCGTCATATGCCAGTCTCAAACAATTTCGTACAAGACAATGATAATGAAGCATCTGGTTGTTCAGGTAAAAAACACGGCTGGGCAAGACGTAATCTTAGCTTTCCTAAAAACAAATTTACTTTTGTGCGCAACTGTTCAAGTTTTCTTCAACTAAAGGTGCCATGCCAAATAGGAAATCAAGGAATAAGAAAGGATACCCCAAAGCAAATGCATCAAGCCAATAAAACTACTCCGGTTCAGTGCAAATATATGTTGGATGCAAGAGGCACATTTGTGCTTTCTAGAGAAATGATGCAACCAGAAGTCCATGACTAACATTGTGACACAAGAACATACTACAGATTCAGCCACGCAACAAGAAGTCGAGTTATGCAACAAGTTGAATGCTTACCAACTGATACATCAATGTTCACTGTACCATGGATGTCTCCAGCATCTTTCAGATACTTGCTGGCCGCAGATCTATGAAGAAACAGTAGATATTTTAAATTCTATTGTAAGATCTACACAAATTACAATTCATTCAAAGTCGTCAATAAAAAAAATAATTCTATGTTGTCAAGGTTTCTTAACCTGTCAAATGGGAGTGGTTGACCATTTTTCATTAGTGGAATAGCTCCAAGGGAAATATCAAGCTGGTCCGCATCAAACTGAATGCCTGAATAACCGACAGAACAAGCAATACGTCCCCAGTTTGGGTCTCTTCCAAATACAGCGGCCTGATAAAAAATAATTTAACAACTCAGGCTTTCTGGGCTAACGAATGACAGAGGGGTGTCAATCCTCTCCTAATTAGCAAAATTTTGCTGCTAAACAGTATCATACTTTAACCAGGGAGGAAGATGCCACTGAACGAGCAATTTTAGCTGCTTCAGCCTCATTATTGGCACCAGCTACAGTAACCTACAAAGGGAATGGGCACTTTAGAAGCTTGTGTCACACCGAAGAAATTAAGAAAGGAAATTTGATATGATGAATAATTGAATGCAGCAGTTGCCAGATAACTCAATTTGTATATCAAACGTCAAGTCATCATGCTAAAAGAAAATGCAGCATACTATGCTGATGGTGCGAAGTGAATGAAATGCTAAGCGCTTAACCTCAATTAGACATGTTGCACCCTCACCATCCCATGCTATGGATTTTGCAAGACCTTGCATTACCTACAGGAGATAAATAGGTCAGCATCTTTTTCCTTTATAGGTACAGTTTGCTGTAAATAAAAATACATCAAAAACTCTGCAACCAAGAAGAAAATAAGATTCATATCGGTCCATCCTATGGGAAGCTAAGAAAAGAAATTTCAGACTGGAGTAATCTGATAAGTCTACAGAAAAGTGCATTTCAAAATAAATATGGAGACAAGAACATGGAGCCTGGAGTCACATGAAAAGGAAAAGCTTGGGGGAAGTAAAACTTACAGCATCTAAGCATGCTTGGAACTGTTGAGCTTCAGTGCTATCATGAGTAAGGATACTGGATAAACCAGATAACCCACTAGCCAGAGCAATAACACAGTCATTGGTACTCGTATCACCATCCACCTAAAGAATTATGACGTAAACAATCAAGATGTTTGCCTACTAGTTTCAGGATCAAATTGCCATAACAACCATACCAAATTAGTAGACAGAGGATGCATTATGCCCGTTAGATTTCCATAACACAAAGAAAACTAAACCTCAATGCTTGCTAAATTTAGGAGCATTTTGCAGACAGTTCTCTTGTTTGTTATTACAGTTTAATTTGCCCATATTTACCCATGTGATGTGAGTAATTAAGATTGATAAGTTCTTTTGTAGGTTGAGTAACTGTTGACATGCTAATCAACTCAAGAGGAATGGTTTCTCAGTACTTACTGTTATTTGATTGAAGCTTCTACTCACTGATGTTCGGACCATTTCTCTCCAAACATCACTGCTGACTTGAGCGTCAGTTGTTAAAACCTGTAAGAAAAAGGGTTATAATGAAGCTCATACATGCCTTGAGAAAGGGATCAATAGAGGAGTAGGACTGTGTGGAAAATGAGATTGATACAGAACTTACACCAAGCATTGTTGCCATATTTGGATGAATCATCCCAGAACCTTTGGCCATTCCTCCTATTTTGATAGGCACTCCTCCAATCTAACTTTTCAATAAAGAGATGATAAGAACAAAGATAATGTCAAACCAAATAAACCTAATGAGAATAATACGAGGCTAAGAAAGTCAAACCTCTGTCTGTACAGCGATGCTCTTGCTAACAAGGTCTGTAGTTGTAATGGCCACAGCTGCAGAATTTGCACTGTGACAGGGGCAGAGGTAATAAGTTAGATATAGTCATATAGAAATGACACTTGCAGATGCATTTTACATGCAATGCGTGCTAACTATACCCCTCAATGGATGAAGACAGTGAGCCCACAAGTCTATGAAGTGAATTTACAAGTGCCTCCTGCATTGTCAAAACCCAAGCGTCAGATGAAATTGTACTAGGTTAGCCTACTAGTTTAGTACAGTCACTCAACCATAGTTTGGTTGTGGCAGCACTGTACCTTCTTTATTCTCTGACCAATAACACCAGTGGACTGGATCAGTATGTCATTTGTGCTCACATTAAGAAGCTGCAAAAACCGATAGCCAATTAGAGAAAACATCATTGATGCCTGGCCAACTTATAGGCATCCAATCGGCAAGTAAGTACCTTGGCAACAGCATCAGCACTATCCACTGTATCCTGATATCCTGCATCACCCTGAGATAAATTATTTAGATAAGTATATCAATACTAGCCACGGTGTTTTCGAATACAGTACAGAGCCAGCGGAACGGATACGGTTGTCAGAAACACTTACTGTTGCTGCATTTGCTTGTCCAGCATTAATTAACACAGCTCGAGCCTAGAAAACAATACATTGAAAACATAGAATACCTCAATGAATTATTACTTCCATTTATTTGTCAAAAGGTGAGATGAGAGGTAGAATTAACTTACTGTTTTTGATGAATTAAGGACACGCTTACAGTACAAAACTGGTGCAGCAGCAACAACATTCGTAGTAAAAGCTCCTGAAAAGAACCCAACAGGACAATAACTAAGCCCAACCGACAGATTTCATATGGCACTGCACAAGCCGATACACCAACGCAACTCAGAACTCAGAACAGCAAAATATTCACAGCCGTTCATCCTAACGAGCACGCATTGATACACATTCTGCAGCCGTTAGCAGTTGCTGAGAAATGGTAACGAGAAGTGAAACTGAAGTCTGAACTCTGAAGAAACTTCTGCTACTACGAGTGAACTGAATAGAAAGTGTTGGTGATAGCCTTTACCCGCGACAGTGGCGTCGACGTCGCAGGCGACCAGCGCAAGGTCGGGCTTCTCGCCCTTGGCGCGCAGACCGCCGTAGATACCCGCCGCCTTGAACCCCTTCGCCGCCGTGACGCCGCCTTCCACCTGAACCCGCACCCGATCAGCAACCAGCCACCAGATTCAGCATACTGAAAAAAAAAAACCCACAGCCCAACGCCCCCGCGGCTTCACCGGAAACCAGTTACCCACCTGCTTCCACGGGCCGTCGGGGAGGAGGATCGGCGCCGCGGAGATAAACCCCTCGGCAGCGGCGCAGACCATCCTGGATGGCCGCGGAGAGCTCGTCCGGAAGGAGGAGCGGTGGTGGTGCGGCAGCGGCGTGCGTGGATGGAGGAGCAGGAGGGAAGGGGGCGGCATCGCCGGCAGTTGACGCGCGGTGGCGGCCGGCGGCGAGGGGGTCGTCGCGGCGAGGTGGCAGGTGGGTGTGACACAGCGTGGGAGCGGGCCGGGTTTTTAGTCCTTATTTTATTTTATTTTTATTTTTTTTAGGGTGCGAGGCCTGGAGGCGGCAAGCAGGTGGGGCCCATGGGTTGGTGACGGACTGACGGTCAGAGGGCCGGGAGCGGGTAGGTCTTGGGCCGTGGACTCGTGCGCAGTCAATTCTATGTTGTTGTTTTTTCTTTTTCGGGAGAAAAAAAAAACATATATGCTGTATTTAGTTCCCTTCAAACTTCTAAAAATTCCATCACATCAAATATTTAGACATATACATAGAACATTAAATGTGGACGAGAAAAAAAAACCAATTGCACAGCTTACATGTAAAATTGCGAGACGAATCTTTTGAGCGTAATTACGCAATGATTTGACAATGTAGTGCTACAATAAACATTTGCTAATGACGGATTAATTAGGCTTAATAGATTCGTCTCGCAGTTTACATGTGAAATCTATTATTTGTTTTGTTATTAATCTACGTTTAATATTTCAAATGTGTGTTCGTATACGTAAAAAAAATTTAGGCCAAACAACTAGACACGGCCATACTTCCAAAGTAACAACGGTATGTGCAGACCTATGTGTATGTTTGGGGGAATAATTAACTATTTGCCACTCTTATAAGTGATAATTAAGGATTTATCACTGGGTCCACATGTTATAGGCACATGAGGACCCACATGTCAAAGACTTTGAGGCAAATACTTAATTGCCACATCTTAAAGGTGACAAAAAGTTAAATGAAGTTAGATCAATCTTCGGTTCGAGAAAATGTCTAGCTAGCATGCTACTTTGATATTCAAGATCTATCAACATAATCACTGGATACTGTCATGTGGCACAAGCAGTGATGGATGTAGAATAAAATATTCTAACTAATCTCTACTGCTTTAAAATTGGAGTTGTCCTCTTTCCACCCCCTTCTCCCACTGTGCTCGCACGGTTAGCATACATAGGTATTCACCAGATCCAATGTTTTATCCTTAATCTTATTACAATCCATCCCTATTTTATATGACCAGACCCATTATAGTGCAAGGATATGTTACTAGTAATACCTAAATGATCAATATCTAACAAATATTCCAAAAGACCATGTTTGTTGGACACCATCCAACTACTCCTAAGCCCCAACCTAGATAAGAAAAATAAGATGGACCAAGCGAAATTGTGGTTGTATTCATATTGGGAATGCCATATTACAGTATCCCGTTCGAGGGTCGGATGGGATGAGATCTTATTTGTGACTCCCTCCCTCGTGCTAGGAGATGAGCTCGACGGGGCATGTGGCTACCGCAACGATTTGCGGTGGCTGTTGCGGCATGGAAGCGATCCAATTTTTGTCGCGACAGTGTGGGTCAAGTTGATGGTGGCGACAATGATGCCACAAATTCTCCCGGCCATGTGGTGCAGAGGAGAGAGGAGTCAGGGCTCGGTCTAGGACCATAGAAGGAGGAAGATAGGAAGAAAGGAGAAAAACATAAAAGATAGGAGAGGTTGGGGGGGGAGGAAGGATCGAGCTATTAGTTTTTTGTTTTTTACCATTGCAGAGGAAGATATTGGGGCTTTCATTATCTCATGTAGTGTCTTCCTTCGAGGCTGTCGTTTCACGTTCTGATTCAACATCCTCCATCAAGCTTCTTCTTCCTCTCAAGCTCATTATTCTTTTCTCTGTAGTCAACAATACCTTGCTGATCCTTAGTCGGGGGTCTTGTGATGTGGGGGTGAGAGAGAGGAGAAAAGGAAGAGGACAACACGTGTGCTCGTTGGTGCGTGCAGCTTTCTCTTCTTCCTCATGGTACCAACAAGTACTAACCTAGTACCGATGGGTATCGACTGGTACAAATGGGTATCAAACTTTGGTACTGACAGGGTATCACTGGTACCTATGGGATATCTGATCTGGTAGCGACGGGCTTTAGATTTGGTACCACGGGCCATGTATCGGTTGGCACCAGAATCTCTTTGCCACATGTTGTTGGGCTACAATCTGGTCTGCGTTAGGCCCAACTAGGCCCAAGAGACGGGTAACAAAAGCACACACTTCTGCAATGCTCGTGCTCAGGCATCAATAGACAACACCGACTTCCTCATCCTCCCTACTTCTTTCAAGGTCATATCTCAGTTCTAGTTCTAGTTTGTATCTAGAATCTTTCTCAAACCTTGTGTATCTCCTAGTTTCCTCTTCTTCAACCTCTCCAAACACTTTATAGTTGAATGGGATACTATTGCAATTTCTGATTGGAGAAGAGGGTTGTTAACACTTTCCAATTGAGTAAAAGTTAAGCTGCCACGTGAACACAAGTGCAATAGAGGTTGTTTGAGCATGTAACCTATCCCAAATAAACATAGGCTATAGTCTATTTGAAGCTAGATCGATGTAGCAATTTGTAAACATCTTGAAACGCTGACAAACAAGAATTACTTTTACAACACATATGGTAGCAAGATATTAACTCGGCCAAAGAGTTGGTTACGGGCTTACGGCAAAGTTTCCAGAAATACATGCGAATATCATGAACATGAAAAGGTTGCTCAATGTTGGAGAAGTCATTGTGTTGCTAGCTGCTACCTTTACACATGCCCAATTTTGGTATTTTACAGCCGTAATGCTTGCTTCTTATTGACTCAAAGGACGCCTAATGCATTCGTTGCAAGCCACACTTTGCCACAGTTTGCCACGCCTAAGGTTAGGCAAATTTGACAGGTGTTTGGTTGTAGCCACAGTTGTGGCAAGATTCCCCTCCAACAAATTGGGTCCCACGTGTCAATGGCTCAAAAAAGTGTGGCAAGATTCCCTTAGGCTTAGTAAGTTGTGGCTAACAATTTGATCACCTCACCTTAGGCAAGGTGTGGCAACTTTTATTGGCAAGTAATGGTAAAGTGTGGCTGGGAACCAAACAGCCCCGTAACTTCGTGGACGCGTGACTGCTAATCAAACATCCAAACTAGTAGTATTCCCGTAACTCCGATTAGAGTAAGTTCAAACGAGCTGCCACGTCTCGTTTAATTTACAGTTGCAGCTACTGATTACTGAACCAGATCCTCTTCTGATCCTCGACGTCCGTGCGGCGGCGACCGCCCTCTGCCGCGAGGCTCACGACGGCCGGCGACAGCGCCGCCACGCACAGGCCTCGCCGGCGAAGCTCCGTCGCCGTGCCTCCTCCTCCTCCGGCATCCTGCAGCCACAAAACTGTTGCAATTGCAGTAAAGAAGGACATGACATGGCTGCAACTTTCAAGAACAGAAAATACGACCTGCTGCTGCGACGATGCAGAGGAGGAGCTTGTTCCAGGGTAAGGCGCTGTCAGAATCTGAAGAGGAAGTGAAAAACACTGAGATTCTGCAGGCTTTTTTTATCATGTGAAACACGCGAAAACGACTTAGTCCATTGGGTTGCAGATGCCAGGGTTCACCAAATTATTTTGGGTGGGGTTATCATCATTTTACGGTAAAACGGTTATTATGGTAACCACGTGATTATCGTGAAAATTGTACTATTACCATGAGGTTTATCGTGATTTTAAAAACTCGTAAGGTTTTGTAAACCTTGGTCATGGACTCGTCGTGCCTGGCTACGATGTCTGACGCGCGATTACCTGGATTTGTTGGTGGAGTTGCCGTATGCAGGCGGCTGCTTCGTGGAGCACCGATGCGGTGTCTGTCTGCTCGGACGATCAGGTTCAGAAAATTAACGCTCTCAGATCAGCAAAATCACTGATGATTAACATGGATAGAAAACACTAGCTAGGTCGTTGATTAATTAACCTTGCCGTAAGGTGAAACTAACTGCTGCAGAGCTGTGATTCTGTCGCCCAGTTTCTGGCTCCTCTTCTTACATGTTGCCTGCATTTACGATGGCAGTGAGAGGGAAAAGATAGCCAATATGAACGAGAGAAAGCCCCTACACTGACAACACTGATGAAGTGATGATTACAAGAACTGTAATTGTTTCACTATCAGATACTCAAAAATGATACTACCTTCGTAGTTTGATTTCTTGGCTTTGCATGGCACTTCACCCCATGCCTTGGAGGTTGTGTCGTCGCCGTAGTTGCTGTCTTGAGCCTCTTGGAGCTCCTGAAACCGCCGTCGCCGGTCATCGGCTCCCCGGCCGCCGTCCATCTCACCAAATGCTGACGACATAAACAAGCATTTCCCAAACCACGTAAAAATTAATAACACAAACTTCACTGGCTTGATGATATTATCACAAGGTTTCAGGTAGGCGAAGAGGATTATTACATACAGCAGCAGAAGTAGCAGCAATTGGCTGGGAATAGCTGAACTGCGCGAGTGCAGGCCTGGCGCCTCCGCCATAGATCGAGCTCTCTCCTGTTGTTATCAGTTCATCAGAAAAATAGTATCAAAGTAAAACAATCTCACCATCCACGCAGAAAGCATTTCGAAAGAGTGGAGTTACCCAAGTAGCTCTCTGAACTTCTCGTGGTGAAAAACGTTGGTGACTGAAGATTCTGAAGCGACGGCGAGAAGCTCATGTGATGGAACAGGTCATAGTCCGCGGCGATCCTGACCAAAGAGACGAAGAAATTTTCAGTGGTTTCATGCGAATTGAAAGATCGTATACCATTTCCATTATCTAAAAAAAGATATTGAATTGAAAGATCATTTGAAGGCCCTCACTACCGAATCCAACACTTACATTCTGTCAAAGCCTACAGTTGTGGAAGGTGAATTAGACGCTTCGCATTTCACTGCAACTGAAGAAACCTGTTAAATAAATTCGACAGAGAAGAAAATAAAATGTCATGGCAGTTGGGAAATTTACCGTAGTCGTCAGTGAACGGTATGAGCAGAGACGATGGTGCAGAGCAGTTCCACATTATCTATGATTATGCTCTCAGCACCAGAAGCCTGCAGGTTTCAACACCTAGAGAATTACAGTAAAGATCACAAGTTCACAACGTTCAGTTGCAGTTAAGAGGAAAAAGAATCAATAGTAGTTTAGAGTAGACAAGAAACAGAGAAGACCCATTGCTCAAAAGTTAAAAGAAGAACCAGAACAGAGTCAAGCTCTTCTGGATGAATTTGTATTATTTTTCAGAGACACACAATTCATCACAATCAATCCAATAAACTAAGACCTGCCCATCTTTAAAATCCCAGAATACACCACAAGATCCAGAAATCACAGAAAGAAACAGAAGCAGCTATCAAGCTCACAGGTTTGACACGAACAAGAACAACCAAGCTCGTGTCTTTCTACTGAATTCTCTTGCAATGCAGATGGCCCAAACAAAGTAGAACATAAACCGGCAAAAGTTCTTACAATGGGAGGATGCAGGCACAGGCAGGCACTAGATCGCAAGAGCAATGTCGACGCTACGGCAGAGAAGGCATAGCAATGGCTGCTAAATACTCCTCTGCTGCTACGTGTGTGGCGTAAGCAGAGCGCTTAATTGCGTCGTTTGCTTGGCCTCCCTCTCCTCTCCTCTCAGATGCTGCCGTTTTAACTCAGGCTGCTGCTAATTATAACCTCCAAGCTTTGCCAAATCAAACACATGAGATGGGAAGAGATCACAAGCATGCCGAGAAATTTCAGAGGAGCACACGGGAAAACTGGGCGGATCGATTGGCCACAATTAATAGGAGGGCCTGCCACTTCTCACAAAAATTAAATAAGTTCAGCTCCGGCCTCTCATGGCCGTTTCGCCTTGACTTCTTTTTACATGCAGATATGATTAGTAGCTGATTAGTACTAGCACTTTATTACTACTACAACCTCTAATAATGATAATCACATCAGTATTTTTTTTTCTGAGAGAGATTTGCACTACTGCAAACTGCGTTACTGTCTGTTAGTATTTTACTGATCAGTTGCTGGCGTCTTGCTGCACCGGCTGTGGCAGGATCGTTGCAGCAGTGAGAGAGGAAAAAAAGAGATGTTTTTTGGATTAGGCTCTTGTCTCTCCCTCTCCCTGCCACGTGGCAACGAGTGTCAGGTAGGACGATGCTGGTCTGGAACTCTGAATCTGGTTGACCATTGCTCGATCCCTCATTGGTTTTGTTTAACATGTCAGGATCAGTTCAAGCTCAAGATAATGATTAAGTAAATAGACAAAAATGACCGATGAACCAAACACCGTTAGAGCAGGTATAATAGCACTTCTTCAGTCGGTGATAACAACATCCACATCATCGTTGTATTACGTGGAGGAGGGAGAAAACATGAAAACGAAGAGAGCGAGTGCTTGCTGAAGCGCCGGGTGGTAGCACGATAATTTAGGCCATATTAAACATTTTATATGGTTTGTGGGCCTCCGGTTCAGTGTTAGTTTTATGCTCAACAGCTCAAGCACGGTGGACCATAGATATAGAGCTTGGTTTTGTTCATCTGTGCATATAATAATTAAGTCCAATTCACGCTTATATAAAGCCAACTTATAGTTTGTCCTTTGTATAAGCAATCTACAATCATCAACTCTAGATGACATGGACATATGTTACCGCCGTCAAAAAGCTTTGCTAGCCTTGCTCTTAGGGAGGGCTTATGGCCGGCCAATTGTTTAACCTTTGCATCGCAATCAGCTGCCTGCAATGCTTCTTGATTTCTCAGGGGTGTTTGCATCATCTAAAATGTGTACCACTCTCGAGGCGACAAGATTCTGCAAGCTGAGTCTCAACAGCTGATGACACGTCGTCTTTCATGTAACCAGAAAATAATGATAATAACTGAATGCCAGTAGAACCCTGAAGGAGAGGTTGGGATGATTAAAAGATGCAAATCACCTTCAACATCAAGATGAAAATGTTTGCAAGTGTTGACGTATAAAGAGAAGCTTTACGTTTAGCAGAGGGAAACTGACGCAAATCGTTAGCCAGAAATGTGTCAGCCATGAGTATCAATGTTCGGTATCCTGCATCATTTTGGGGTTGGGTGTTAGAAAATTGGGTCAGTTCGAACGGCCGAGTATTATTTCACAGCCGACTAGATTGTCAAACACACGTTTCCTTTCTAGCTCATCGGTTAGCATGTCCAGATCATCATGGCGTATCCATCTACATAACTGCTGTTTCTGAAGTCTGAACAAACAACACATGTAACACAACTAAACAAGAAATAGATGCATGGAGCAAACTTACCGATGCCTGTGAATGCAATGGGAAAAAAAAACCCAGTAAATTCTAGGGGAAGAGGTTATTCCAATAAAAGAGGGCTCTACCTTTCTAATGTCAGAGATAAATATTTCATTAACTCATGTTTGTTTGATGCGATCACCATGATTTGATTTATTAGATGCTATGCGGCCAGCTTTATGCAAAAGCTTGTCTTCACTCCTGCCTGCCGTCTTTGCAATCTAGAATAGTTCCTGCCGATAAGTCCCAGTACCAGTGTTCGCAGCTTTTATCTGAAATCTATGCAGCAACTGTTTCAAAGTCATGGCTCAATATTAAGAAAAAGTAAAACAACTTTGACTCAGTTTGTGTTCATCACAAAGATCGATTCATCAGTGGACAAAACTAGTGCTGTTGCAGTCCAATTTGTTTTAGAAGTGCCAATAATAATGTCTAAGGATGCAAGTGACTCAAACAGTGCTAAATGACAGAAGACACATGCCCCACATTAACTATAGTGGCTATTGTATCAACCACTTGAGGATTCAAACCTACTGAAAACTCTATTTGATGGAAGTAAAGTAAGCAGAAAACGGCAGATGAACTCAATGTCATTCAAACCATTCTATAAAGCTTACATTTGGCTGATAGCACCAGAAGAATCAGAGATGAGAGATCTATGTGGCAGGAACAGTTTGATATAATTAATAAGTTTCCAGTATTCACAAAACTCCTATCCCAAAGGCACACCTTCATAATGTTTTAGTGAAAAAGGATTTATCTCACATTCCACTTGACACCTATGAAAGTATGCTAATGACAAAGGAAAAAGGTACGAAAAACTCAGCTCCCAAATATGAGGTAGGCCTCTAACAAGTTTTCATGTGCAACACCTCACCCAAATACAACTGACAAGGTAACTTGTCAGCCCAATCAAGACTATATGGTTCATTTCAGAAATAACTACTATTCAATAGATATATCTACTGTACTTCAAATGGGAATTTCTCCATAAATCCTAACAAGCCAACTTGTTCTATAGGAGGCATGTATGCTGCTATTCTGCTTCTCTCTACTGTACGCTACATAACTCTCTTGATGGGCAGAGAAACAGAGCCTTATTGTGCAATGATCTCTGAACAGAAGATGTCTGATCCCATTTATAGCTTATGGAAAAGCGATGTTTTATGCAAACTTGTAGATTGAAAAATGGAAAGCATATGTGAACTTAGCATCAGCATGTACGGTCTTGATTATTGAGCTTAAACATTTGAGAAGCCTATATGATCAATCAACAAAAGAAATTCTGAAATTCATCTAAATCTCACTGAAAAACTAACAGAAGAGCTTCCAGTTTATGAAATATCGATCAACAAAAACAACTTCAAAAATCATCTAAATTTCATCGACAGATGAACAAAGGAACCACCATTTCAATATTCTATGAAATGCAAAGTTGCAAACTGATCCATAGTAAGAAGACTTCCACCTTGTGCCCTCCCCGTGTGAATCCCTTTGCAATTGCATAAGGTTAGAATATCCAGTAGTAAAGTATTCAAGACTTTTGGACGGTGTCCATAGAACATATTCAGGTTGCATTACCATTGATAAACAGGAGAACGAATAATCGGTTTCAAAGCACACAAAAATAGACAAGAATAAACCAGCGAGTCACCTAACATGTTTATTGGTTTCTTCGCATTTATCGAAGGGAAGTCATGTTAAATGTGGTGCTTACTCCCCTTATAGGCTTATAAGGCTTATAAATAGAAGCCGGGAGGTACGATTCCGTCTATTCACCACCTAAATTCAGGTATAGGAGTCCAGCACACTCAATGTTTCCATAATAGCAAAGCTTATGCAAACAATTTGACAAGTACCTAGCACAGCTGCACAGGGAAGACCATTCTCTCCAATTTGTATTGAAAGCATGAACCAAATTCTTTACAATAGTGATAATAACTCATAAGTTCACAATCGACAGGTGCAGCAAGCATAAGTTCTTTCACATGAGCAGCAAAAATTTAAGCACATAATGGAACAGCATATGTGTAGTATATGGAACAAATACTCCCATCTCAAAACCCAGTTGGGTACACTGTGTATCATAACAGAAGCAAAGTATATAGCATTTCTGATCAGAACAAAAGAAACCGCCCTCAGCGGCAACTACAGAAGAAAAGGAAAGATCAAATCATTATTTTGCTTCTGTTTCTCGGATTGATGCCTCGCTTCCATCAATACACGCGCTAGAGCTAAAGAGGAGTTTTATTACCTCGCAGGCGCCGCAGGGGCATTGACGACGTTCCTGCGCACCACCCTGGGTGCCCCACCCTTGCCATTCTCCTTGGAGCCATTGGCGCCGCTGCCAGTGTCGCCCAGGATCAAATCGCGGAGGCCCGAGCTGAGCTCCTTCTCCCTCTTCTCCCTCTCCTTCTCCTTCGCCCTGGCGGTGGCGGCGGCGAGGGGCTCGAAGTGGTTGCCGTAGATGTACTCCGCGGAATAGCCATCCTCGTCGTCGAAGATCATGACGTGGCCGTGCCACTCCCAGACGCGGTACACACCGCCGGAATCGTCGTGGAAGCCGACGCAGATGTGGTGGTCGCCGACGGCGACGGACTGGCCGGAGTTGGGCTTGAGCGCCTCCTCCGCCTCCCCGGCGAGCACGAGCCGCACGATCTCCTTCTCCAGCTTGGCCTCCTCCCTCGCCAGCGTCCGCCGCCGCCTCGCCTCCCCGGAGACCACCTCCCCATCGGATCCCTCCCCTTCCCCATCCTCGCCGTCGTCGTCATCGTCGGAGGCCCCCGCGGCGGCCGACAGCGCGGCGAACTCGTTGAGGAGGAACTCGTCGAGGTCCTGGGTGAGGAAGGAGTTGGTGTCGAGGAAGGGCGGGCGGAGCTGGACCCGGCTCATCAGGTTCTGGAGGAACAGCGCGTCCACCGGCGCCGCTGCCGCCCCCGCCGTGGCGGCGGAGGGGCTAGGTGGCTGCGGCGGCGGCGGCGGCGGCGAAGCCATGGGCGCAGTAGGGTTTTGGGTTTTGGGTGGGCTCGTGTGGATGACGCGGACTCGCCGTGGATGAGGACGAGGAGACGGGAGGAGACGAGGAGATATTTTCCTCCCTTGGAGCTCAGGAATATGGGCTGGTTTTATTTTAGGCTGGGCTTCCAGAGCGATTTCTGGGTCAAGTATGGTGGGCTTAAAGGCCGTACATGACCTGAACTGCAGGCCGCAGGGGGCGCTGAAATGCTTCACATAAAACGGTTTTATAAATTTTCTTTAGAACAAACAGTTTATACTTGAACGATTTCGTTAAGGGTAGAAAAAATCTGGGTGATTTTTTTTTGCTAGAAATCACCCGACAAATGGATAGTCAGTTCCAGAATGTATAGATGGCCAAACGGGCGGCCGCACGGCCCAGGCACGGAACACACCGGGTTGTTCCGTGCCAGCCCACGTGCTCAACCTGTAGCCCATGCACGGCCTAATAATGGTCAGGCTGTGCCGGCCTGGCCGGAAGGCACGGCAACCCATCGTGCTTTCTTTGAATTAAGTCTATTTGCCCTCCCTCATCTTTCGTTTGTGACAATTATATAGCTAAAATAAGTCTATTACATCCCTAATCTTTTGGCCGTGCCATATAATATGTCTATTTGTCCTCCCTATTCTTTATGCCCAATCTTACATTATGGTTGAAAATAAGTCTATTTCATCTCCCTGACGTTCATGTCGTGCCGGGTTGGCCCACCGTGCCGAGCCATAGGCCCAGGCACGACCCAACAGCCGGGCTGTGCCATGCCTGGACCAGGCCAAAATCCTGTGCCGTGGGCCGCACCGTCGGGCCTCGAGCCTTATGGCCAACTATACTTGAATGCATGCCACGAGGGATCTCATCCTTTTATAATTTTCAACTAAAACTAGCTATCTAAGTCACGGCTTCGCGCAATCATAACCTGTCTTTTATTTCCAAATATGATAATACATTGTTTGTAATAATTACATATGTTAAAATTTAATTGGTCTATTTGCATATTTGAATTCTATTATTCAATTTTAAGCATTTAACTTTGGAGAGTATTTGGTTCAATGTTCGAGCAATCAGGTTGACATATAATTTTGGATTATGTCTATCAGTTTGTTTGTATATTTGTTAGGTACCTATATTTCTATAGGTGGTAGCTATTTTTATCTTACTTATTTATTCATGATTGTTTTTATGACCGGCATATCCGACAATTTTAGACTTGCTAAATTATTTAATTGTGAATGTAGGATTTATTGTAATTCTGTTGACATAAAATCCATAGAACACACATTATTCGGTATGTTTATTGGGTTACTCTGCACCTATGCAAGATATATCGAGAATTACTTTTTATATGTCTAGTGCTTTTACTTTATATGGATTTGATTTCACTATATTTATTCATGGTTATAAATTGAATTTATGAACAAATTAAGATAGTAATGGAGGTGTAAGTGGTGGCCATGAATCGAAAGACTGACACCACTGATGTGGGCCGAGAAAGTGCATTTCAATTTGAAAGTAGACTTATCTAAACGAATTTATTTTGACATTTTGATAGTAAAGGAGTTTATTTTGATTTTATTCTAAACTTGCCTCATGTGCATGGAGAATAGAGGGTGGAATTGATTTGGGCTTGCAGCTATTCCTAGAGTTAGGGGAGATTCTCTAAAGTACTCTAGAATATTCATACTTTTATTTTACTATAGTGAGTTAGGAGAGGTTCTCTAGGGTACTCTAGAACATTCCTATATTTTTTACAACTATGCTTAAGTTTCATCCAACGGTAAAGATTGATTCGTCTTATTTTGTCTTTAAGTGCATCCGACGGTTAATATTTGTTAGATGGTGACATATCCTGGTTTCTTTGTGAGATTTAGTTTTCACTTAGAGATATACCTTTTGTAACTTCTCATTTATGTGAATACATAACAACGCCCTATAATACACCATGCATCCAATTAAAATGATATATGAAATTGTTTATATGATACAAATTTCTAGTGTGTATAGTAGTCTTTCCGCTCACACTTATACATGTGTTACGTGTAGGGTACTGTTTTAATAGAAATTTAAAGCGGGTGCAATAATGCCACCTCTATTAGCTACTCCCCCATTCCAAAATATGTTTAGTTTTTACCTATCCCATATATATATATATATATATATATATATATATATATATATACACCAATATAAAATTGAAAAATTAAAATATCCCCACTTTATCAAATTGTAATGCAATTATTTCATACTTTATATACTCCCAATGTATTTATTCTCTATTTTTATAGACCCTGATGCAACGATTACTTTAAAAGTAAATTTATTTTGAAATAAACATATATGAGAAGTAAAAATATGCTTATCCAGTTTTGCGGTTGGGGGACGATTTTGTAATTCGATGACAAGTTGAGGGACCTTGGGTGTACTTTTTCCTTTAATTTAGGTGCAGTGCAAATACTCCCTCCATCTTAAAAAAAAACTCAATTTCTATGAGTTTAAATTTTATCCCACAAAAAATCAACTTCTAACATTATACCTACCCTCGGCACATAAAACGAAAAGTTTTATCCCTGCAATACCTCTTATCTACCTATCACTCTTACTACTTTTTTCAATGATTATGGGCATTTTAGTCATTCCCCATCTCCACTAATTTCACCTCGGGATTCTAGGAATATTTTTTTTTTGGGGACAGAGGGAGTATGTCTTAGGTTGACTTATAAACGATCTCTATATTCTACGAGATCAATCAGATTCTTAGCAAAGGTGACTGAAATTCTTGCAATTTTCAGTCACATAAAGGGTATTCAGTCTAAAAAAAGAGTCTTGACATGGATATCTAAGTTTCTAGCCAATTTTTGTTTTAACCTCTTGCCAAATCCTCGTCAATCAAATGTGTACACCCACTAAATTTTTTTCTAGGTTCGCTATTGTGCTCACGTGTGGTGGTGTAGGGCGTTTCTAATAAAAAAATAGTGGATACCCAGCACGTCGCAGCGAGAAGTTTAGAAATACTTAAAAAAATCTCGAGGAAAACAGCTTTATAAATCAAGTACTCGTAACGTCTAAATGAACAATATTTTGAGCTTTATTTTAGTTGATTTGGAATTACAATTATACATGACACATGTATGCATGTATCAAATGTGAGAGTGATCCAATGACTATTACTTTTGTAGGTGGCAAGGTTCAATACATATCGAGCTTTATTTGCAATAACTATAATAAGTGAGTTGCAAATGCACATGATATATGGATGGTTGAAATCAAAGCATAAGAGATATTCAAAGACTACTATTCTCTTGATGATTTGGCTTAATGCATATCAAGTTTTTGACTTTAAGTTTAAACTATATCTTAACTACTTAAAATATTAATAACTTTCTGTTCACATCTGATTTTCGTCTGTAAAATAATTTACAAATCCCTAAAGCGAAAATTAGGGTGTGACTGAACAAAAATCCTCGAAAAAGAGCACAACAACAAGCGAAACATATGAGTCGCATCTAAGACCTAACACACCTGAAATAATGAAAAAACACCCGCCATCTTTCGTGCCACCGATCGGCTGCGCTCTCCTCACTCCACCTTCAAGATGGACGGTGGCTCACGTCCCTCGGCTCCAGACGGCCGGATCCGCCAACGAGAAGGTATGGACAAATACCCAGGTAAATTAATTTAAACACCTACCTACTTAAAAATACCCAATTATTATGAGAAATTTATATTTTAATTTATTGCATAATGCTAATATTTCTCAATTTTTCCTTAATTTTCTCGTATTTTTTTCTTGTTGCAACGTACTGGCACTTTTTCTACTAGGATATATAGATTTATTGAGGTTAAGAATTTACCATTGTTATTTCTCTCTTTAAATGTTTGTTGAAGAATCGATCGTGAAAACAACCACTACAGGTAGAATAAAATATGTAGCACCGAAAGGGAAAAGGACAACCGACTATAAGTACCACGATAAGTCAACCAATACAATATATAGGCCCTGAAAACATTATAATCATCCGAATACATTTCCAGGGAAAAAATATGTATGACGGAATCTCTCTAGCTAATGTTTCCAGGGTTGACTTCTCGGGTAGCGTATAAATGTAAACTGTAAATTAATTTTCAAAACTTGTATGGAGAAGTAAATCTCTGTGTCAATGTCAGCACGGGAAGTCAACCACCACGGGGAACTCTACGGCGAGCCCCGCCGGCCTGGCGCGATCCGGCTCCTCCTCTATCGCCGGCGCGTTCAGGTCGAACACCAGCTCGGCGGCGGCGGCGGCGGCCGCGGCCTTCTTCTTGCCGCCGTCGTCGTCGCTCTGCCCGACGACGCCGATGCCGAGGCCGAGGCTGAGGCCAAGCCCGAGGCCGTCCGCCATGACGGCGCGGTGGCGCCGCATGTGCCCTCCGAGCGCCTGGCCGACGGCGAACTCGAGCCCGCAGATGGAGCACCCGTGCACCTTGGGCTTGGCCGGCGCCTCGGCGGCCGGGTCGCCGTCCGCCAGGCGGGGCTTCTTGTGGCTGGCCCGGTGGCCGCCGAGCGCCTGGAAGGACGGGAACTGCCGGTTGCATGTCTTGCACTCGAACATCCGCTCCGGCGGCGACGCCGCCGCCGCGCCACCGCCGCCGCCGTGGGCGCCGGAGAAGAGCAGCATGATGCGCGCCATGTCGCTGCTGTCGAACAGGCTGAACGCCGCCTCCTCGGCTTGCTGCCGAGGCCTCTTCCCGTAAGCCATTGATCGAGCAGTGTAGAGCTTGGCTAAATTAAGGAGGGAGATGGAAAAATAATGAGCCGTAGAGCTTGGAAGGCTGAAAGCGTGGTTGAATGAGAAGAAGATGAGCAGAAGAGGTGTATTTATAGGCGGGGTATTCTGCATATTGGGGATTTAATTTCCTTTTTCAATTGTGTAATAATAGTAGTAAAATATTGTACGACTATATCTGCTGACTTTGCGTTTTATTTGCGTACGTACGTAGGCTGCTTTGGCTAGGAATGTGTTATGATTATTTATTTTAATAAATCATCATCTACATGGGCATTTGTGCACTGTTTCCTCACAAAGCTAACTGCTCCCTCCGTTTGCAAATATTTACCACCATTGACTATCATTATTCCAACTTAAACATTGATAATTTTTAAATGGTCATTCAGGTTTCCAAAAAAATATATTAAATGGTCATACTATAATTAATGAGCAAAAGAATAATGTTTATGTTGGTAATATGATATCTTTTTAAGAATTTATTATTACTATTATTTCAGAAAACGAATGTTTAAAATTCAAACATGAATAATGTCCAGTGGTAGTGTGTGTAATATATATAGTATTACTGATTGATATTGTACGCTTTACTATTTATTTTTTGAAATGATTAACTTAAGAATGATCTTTTGAGAGGAAAATACAGTAAATCGTATATGGATTAATTTAGTAGCAGTATATCTCTCTATTTATACTTACCTATATACTAATTAACTCAAGGTAAGTTTGAGAGGAGAAAAAAGAGAAGAAAAAAAATGAGTCATTTAGCATTTATACTTACCTATACTAATTAACTCAAGGTATAATTAATTATTAATTATGTTAAACTAAAAATAGATTAATATGATTTTTTAAGTAACTTTCCGTTATAATTTTTTTAGAAAACACATCATTTAGCATTTCAAATAGGTGTGTGCGAAAAAAAGGAGGGACTTTCTCTTCTCCTGTCGTTCTAATGAACACAACCTAACTAGACACCTTGAGAGAAACCCCCACATAAAAGATTAGTTTGATAGAGAGTTAGCATGACGTAGAGTTTATTAAAAATCCATTACAAAAATTGTGCTTTTTAATGAACACAGTGTACTCTGTAGTTTGAATGGTATGGAATTTGGGGTTTTTAGATATCCTAAAATTTTAATAATTCCTGAAATCCAGAATTAATAATAAGAATTTGTACCGGCCATCTTAGACTCTCGACTTTGTAGTTTATTATTTAATATCAAAATTTGAAATTCTTTTAATGTAAACAACTATAGTTCAAAAATATCCATAGATTTAATATAATTTTGATAGCTATAGTATGAATAATAAATCGTGCATGATGACTAATGTCCATAACACAATATTTTAACAATTTATCTGTCTAGTACTAGATAACTTGCGTGTTGCCCCGGAATTTCTAGCTCTAACAATTAACATGAAGATATATATGCTTTGAATTTCTAGACATGTAAGATGCAACGCAAATATTAAAATATTAAGCGTAATTAAGTATCAACGGGATCTTCGACGTACACGGTAGTAGTTTAGTTGGGATGGGAAGGTGTTTTGATTCGATGGAGGTGATCGCCGGGTTCCACGTGCGTACGTACGCGGCGGCACAAAGCATTCATTCCAGACGTACAACTAACGCGGTGTTTACTTCCAAATTTTTTCTACAAACTTTCAACTTTTCCATCACATCAAAACTTTTCTACACATATAAACTTTCAACTTTTTCATCACATTGTTTCAATTTCAACCAAAATTCTAATTTTAACGTAAACTAAACAAATCCATCCAAGATGGATTTGCGGAGCTGATTTTGACTGGTGCTTGGTACATACGGTGGGAAAGGAGACAACGGGTCCATGGTGAGCGTGTGCAGCCCCCATTTAGACCGGTGATGTCCATTGCGACACTCACTATCAACTATATGATGTCGAGGAAGAAAGGGAAGGATAATTTGCGTGTAGGATGGAAGAAATCGCCGTAAGGAAAAATGATGATTAATGTCGATATGCAGGTTTTGATGTGGACTCCGGTAGTGGAAGTACGGGAGTGGTGATTAGGGACGGGAGTGGTGATTAGGGACTTGACGGGGGCACGTGTGGCTGTGGCCCCGCGATACTTTCCGCGTGTTTTGGATGCCCCAATGGCAGAGGCTTATGCACTACGAGAGGGTTTGTTGCTAGCACAACATATTGGTGTAATAAATTTATTATTCAGACTGACTGTATGCAGGTTGTCGACACAATGTTAGAGGGAGGTTTCTCGGCGACGGTATCGATAGCCATCTATGAGAATGCGACAATTTATATAATGGGTTTGATAGGGCTTCTATTGAGTACTCTAATAGAGAGGCAAACCGGTAGCTCATAAATTGGCTAGTTCTGCTTTTTCTTCGAGAAATTCATGTATATAGGTCGATGAAATCCCTAGCTTTATTATGAGTATGTTGGTGAGTGATGTAAATATATTTTCGTATCAATAAGATAGCTGAATAGCATCCAAAAAATCCATCCAAGATTTACGATACTACAATGTTAACTAATTGGTTATTTGCACTACTAGAGAGGAAAAAGGTAATATAATCGACCCTCTTTTTCTACATAGACAGCCCCTTATCCCATCCTAGTGAAGCAATCAAAGAATAAAGCTAGATGAATCACGCAGATATATACGCATACAGGCTGCATGTGAATGTATATATCCGGGTGGTTCATCCTGTACGTGAACGTATATATCCGAGTGATTCATCTAGCTCTATTCATTGGTTGCTTCATCTATAACGGGATATAAATGTTCAAGCCGCACTAGTAATTTACTTCTTCTTCCATATTAAATTAATTTAGTACACATCCCAGTGCTAAAAATCTTGATAATTACCTGTTCAGAATCATAGGATTACAGAAGGAAGTACGGCTCTCATCTTTTAGCCCAATCAGCATATGCCAATTTTAAAATTTAAAATTTTAAACTTAATTTTGAAGTTGTTTGAGTTTTTTTTATCATAGTTTCTCTTACAACATTATCATTTAAGTCGCTAAGAATATAGAAGTAAAAGTTTTAATCATATTTTTTTCGCTAATACGCCATTTGGCGTATTTTTCGCATATGCCCATCCGGTGAGGCTTTACATACTGTTAATACGGAGTAAAATTACTGCATAAGTCTCAGATCACTGTGGCCTCTTTTTTTTTTTCCGGAAGAAGATCACTGTAACCGCACTGACTCTGCGGTAATGCTTGGACCGTTTCCGTTCTTCGACTATCTGTGACTGCTACTGCCTACTTGTGACTGCTTAATCGTACACAATTTGGTACACGCCATTTAAATCCATTTTCCTCTAAAAATGGGCAGGCGAAATCAAACCGCAACAGTTGTTTGCTAGTACAACAATTTTTTCAACAAATTGCAAGGGTCTCTGTTGCTACAGTAGATGGCATATTCGTCGCTGGAGGAAACTTCCTCTCCTTCCGTACATATCGTTCAAAAAATATTTAAAATTTAATAAAATAGATAAATATATAATATATCATTCATGTTACAATCATGCCAGTTTAAATTCGACCTAATCAAGTAAAAATATACCTATATATGTTTTTACTTGTGCAATCCAAATTTAAACTTACAATGCTTTAGAGTTATATTGATCTACCTTATTATTTTTTCAATATGCTCATGCTACGGTGCTCTCTACAGGTAGTATAAAACAATATAAATAAATGATTTTATTTAATCAAAGGGTTCATATCTATTTATACCACCATCACAGTTAACGGTAGTAGAAAGATGGATGAGTATTATTGTAAAAACTAGGAAGATAGCCCGTGCATTCGCGCAAGCATGTATCGTGTGCTGTATTTGAAAACGGATTATATTTATCAGATAGCCTCTGCCATGTTTTTGAAGTACATTTCCTCTGCAAATATTCTTCGTTGACATCACGTTGATAATTTCTCTATGCTATATACTATATAGTATTTAATTAATCTGTATAAGCAATTATCTATAATCTTCATCATCATCTAAAAAGGAGCTAGACCTAGTTTGTTTAGAAAACATGTTTATTAAATTAAAAGCAAGGTGTTTTTTTTCTTTTTTTGTTGAATGCTTTGGGCCCTGATGGTGAAAACGTAAGACAGCAAAATTCATTGTTCCTTTTCCACTGCCATACGATTTTCATGCAGCTCCTAGTCACCGTGTTGAGATGTGGTCATTGCACCTATGGAGGTTGTCTTGTGATTCATCGTAGTTGTGATCACTTTTTTGGTCAAGCTTAGTTACTCCTATTTCCATGTCTTGTTATATCGTAAAATCTAAATGGACTCCAAAGTTAATCATTAAAGTATATATATACAACAAAAATATATTTGCAGACAATTAATGTTCATATATAGGGATGATTTACCTTTTGAATGGTCTATGCACAAAGAAAATAAACAGAATTACCCGAAATGCTTAGAAGGCCAGAACAACACGCTTGAACATATATCAATGATATACAAAAAGTGCATTAAGCACCATCTAAAGTCAATTAGATGGTAACATAGTTTAGAGCAGATACACGAAAGATCATTTAGCTTGCTTGGATTATTTTAGCACGTTTTTAAAAAAATCATGAAGTAATTAGATATTCTCTAACTAAAGCCATTGGATTTTCGATGCATTGGTGGTTTGGACTTCATATTTTAGTTAGTCCTATTTGCTTAGATAGTGTATATCTAATTTAGCTACGCATGTTTGACAAACAACATATGATGATGCAACCTGTATTGGATTATTTCGTAATTCTTTTACAGCAATTCAAATGACATGTAAAAGGGCAGGGATGTTCTTCCTTAATAAAAAAATGTTTCATAGTTCACTTTGAAATTTTTGTTTAGATAACTATTGATTTAATTTAGCTATACATGTTTGCAGAATGATGTATAGTGATATAATATGTGCAGCAAATTTGTTTAAGATATTTCAATCATATTTGGATGGTATGCAAAGCGCGCGGGATGAATGTGGTTGAATGTCATATTTTGTACATAGGAAAATATAAGGATACGGATCTTAAATTCCTAGTTTAATTAAAATAGA